GCGATCGCCTCGTCATCCCAAAAAGAAATAAAATATCCGCGGCATTCGCGGAATTATCGCTTACGTGATATTTAGACCGTAGATAGGTTTTAGCAATCGATACATTACGCCCGATTTGGATGTGATGCATTATTTAATGCAAGCCGTACAAACGCGAACATCGATAGATGTTGGGCGTATCTTCATAACTTTAACCGTATTTTACATGTTTTTTATTAGATTTTTGGTGTAATTGCGCGACGCCCGTTTCTTTAGCGCGTTATTACAGGGATAATTGAGACATAAAACATTATCATCTCCGTTCGATTTTATTGGTTAGGTACTAAATAATAAACAATCGATAAAAAATTAACCCCGGTTTTATAAAAGTTACCTTAACTTTAAAGGATTCTTTTAACACAAGTAATTGGTTTCGTAATCAACTTAAAGGACCCTTTAAGCCTAAAGTGGCATTTAAAGTTAAAGATTCGATATTTGGACAAGTAAACGATCAAAATTTGTACCGCCAAGTTAAAGATTCTCCCAGTTTTGTGGGATGAATAATTTCAATTTGAATTAGCAACCTTTTCCTAAAGGAACCTTACATGTATTGAGAAACCATTTGACATTAGAAATAAGATTAAAGAACACCCTATCTTAAAGCTTCTCTTTGTTAAAGCATTCTTTAACCATAAACCATTTGTTTTATTATGAAATCAGCCCTTAGTGCTTCACAAAAATATGCATAAAGAATATTTTTTCGCGCGCTGATTGTTTTTATCGTCTCCGTCACCGGATAAAACCGGAAAGAATCGTCCTCGGACATTTTTGCGAGTTCGCAGTTCGTCGTGTCGGCGGTTTCTATCTGAAATATGCCGTGACCTACACCTGCGACTATAAATTATCTAACTGCGAATTCTCCATGCGAAAAAATGTATTCGCATTATCCGCGGAATGGCCATCGTGCTTCGTTAATCTGCATTTCTAATTTATCTCGAACCACCGCTTTCGGGAAAATCGCCGCCGATATCCGAACCGGTAATTATTATTCAATAAGAAAGCACCGATTAGAATGTGTTGATGTTGCGTGGAAAAAATGTTATAAATTTATTATCGGCGAGTCCGTAATATTTGAATGTTGTAATTAAGATTTAAATGAAAGCGGTATGGTTTTAGAAATTATTTTATTACAGTTCATTAGAATTGTTTATTTAATAAGAAATTCATATTGCGGTTTAATTTTATTAATATTCATCTCGAAATTTCCTGCGATTCAATCATGCAAGCGAAAATTTCGAGCGCAAATAATTTCTTTTCGAGATCAAAAAAATGAAATTTAATCTGTAACAAAAATCGATTAATCAACGCACGCTTCGCCGATATGACTTTCGATTTTTCCCATTATTTCTATTGATAATAAATTATCTGCTATATAACAATTGACACGATTTTTTTTTCTTGAAATATTATCCAACCAAACGAACGCTTGTCCTATTGAATTTCGCCTCGATAAGTGAAATACACCTGAAATTGTATAAAATAAAGTACATGCTTCTGGTGAGGTTCGTAAACGTGTGCATATAAATAACGGGTTTCCATAATATCATGGTTAAACAAGGCCATGCACACGTGTTACAAGATAATTTTAGACATTTTACCGGGAGTCACACGAAAAATTGAATAATTCGAAGAATATTAATTCCGTGTAAAATCAACGTGTTTCTAATGCCAGTTAATATTCGTTTTATTGGTGTCAATTCGCGGAGACATGTTGAGTTGTGTAAATTGTACCTATATGCTAATTTTCTATTAGCTAAAGAGAAATCGGTTATTTATTCGATCTAAGTTTAAAATTAATTTACACCCTTGGTTTAAAGGTAATTTTAATGTAAAACTAATTACAACGTAGCATAATTGTGTGGAGGAAATTCGTGCACAAAAAAGAAAGTGTCATCTTATTTCCAGCATTTTACAACGCAAAACAATAAAATTAATATTCTTAAATAATTATTAGTAGAAATCAGCGTTGATACGTTGAAAATAAAAAAAAATATTGACGGGTTTCACTTCTTGCCGCACGTAAAAATTGTATAAACATTTCGGTTGAGTGGCAGTGAAAGTATTTAGACGAGAGCGTTTTCAACAAAAGCATCAACTTCAAACGCGGCCGGTTTTGTTTTTCTAATGTTATTCCAATTGCTCCTCTACCTGTGACCATTTGACAATCGGGATCTCTCGCGGAGGATTCTCGCGGACCATTCGGTGAAAGTAATAACTCACTTTTGCTTGATATTGTGACATTTAACCCTTTCGAAACGGCGATTTTGAAGGTGGTACGAATATGGAAGAAAGAGAAACTTTGATGGGATTACGCGAGAGCTTTAACAACTTCAATTTGCATATTTTCTTGTTGGTATTTTACGCTCGATCTAACAATTCCCCTGAAAGGAATACATTCTATGTCGAATGAATCCATAAAAAACATTCCTAACACAATACATATTTTCGGCAGTTGTAAATTGATCAATTGGCAGAGTAGAGTATATAGAAGAGTGTAGTGTTGTAGAGAGTAGAGTAGAATAAGAGAGTAGAATAGACTAGAAAATAAGAGAGTACAAGAGAAGAGAAGAGAAAAGAAGAGAAAATAAGAGGGTTCAAGAGAAAAGAAGAGAAAAGAAGAGAAAAGAAGAGAAAAGAAGAGAAAAGAAGAGAAAAGAAAAGAAAAGAAGAGAAAAGAAGAGAAGAGAGTAGTTTTGTAAAGTTGAATGGGAAATCCTAATTTTATTGATATAATTATTCAAAGGCATTCAAACAGAATTTGTGCTTGAAAATATGTACTTTAAATAATTATTCTCAATCATTGAAAGAATTATTTGTAGTAGAATTTTTTTCATAAGGACTCTGCGTCCAATTTACAACCGTTCCATATTTTAGTTCAGTCTGAATTTAAAAAAAATTGAAAAAAATTAAGCAGACACTACACATGATTATTCATGAATAAATTATGGATATATCACAGATAAAGACCATCAACAAAACATTCTACTCTCAATTCATCATTGATAAAACCCGAATTCGTTAACATAGTACCTTCGGATAGTCTTTAAAAAGATAAGAAAACGTATCGGGCCGGATTGTAAGTACAACTCGCGCTCGCACAAGGTGATACCCGATTGAAATACTGGTGGAAATACTATGATACCGTGTGGAGTTCAAGGTCTCCCAAAGATTTTAATTCAAGTCTCACGATTCTTTACATGTATGGCTGCTGCTGTCGGCCGATTACGGAGAAATACCTAACTAGAAATCAAAAGTGTTCAACTCGACGAGAATGTGAAATGATCGCCCAGTGGCGGCAGGTTTGAAAATAATCTTCGATTTTAATTAAGAGATGAAGTCATTTATCGAGGGATATTAGCAGACTTTACTCATGTGGAAAAATTTAGGTGCAATTGCAAAGATATTATCATTGTTTGTTATGTTTATTTTACCTCAAAAAACACTTAAAATAATTATTATACTCGAAGGAAATGAAGAGTCATTTAGATTAGATTTAATGAACATCTCTGTGGAATAACAATTACTAATATGATTAAGCGGAATAAAAATGTGCAGTAAATATTTTGAAAGATTAAATTCCGAATCAATTACAAATTGCCAGCATTTTTAATGATTGCAATTATTTAAATGCCTTCGAGTTGAATGTAATGGAAAAAAATATCTAACATTTCATTAGAAACATCACAATTATCACTACCTAGAAACGAAGCATTAGTAATTATATAGACAATATTTATTTTGGGTAATAATTATTTTTAATACCTTATTTTAATTAATTAGTAGTGTAGGTAATCGTAATATGCAATTACCTATTTTTTTAACATAATAACCTCCTCGAAAAACATCGAAATAAATTGTTTACAAAATCCATTTGCTTTCTATTTATTTTATTATTGTAAAGTATAGCCGAGCCTAGATTTTACTTACTCAAAAACCGTTAATTTCAAATTGGATTTTATTACAAAAGTACAGTTATGCAAATAAATACAAAAAACTATTAATCCCTTTTTATCGTTAACGAAATTAAGTTGTTAACGAATTATACATCCAAATAATTTAAATAGGTAATCACGAAACCTTGGACACATCGCATTAAATTTTCGCCATTAAAAAAATCGATGTCAACCGTAATTATCGAATTAACGTCAATCAAGCATTTTGATTTTTAATTGACATCAATTAAAAACCGAACACAATCGGCGTGTTACCGAGATAGCAGAGGTCAAGCGAATTAATAAAATTTGATTAATCTCGCACGTTCGCATTATCCACTAATTATTGCGCAATTATACGATTTATAGATGCGAAAATAGATTATTCTTCTACTTCTAATATATCATTTCATTGTATTTTATTGGTAGTTGTTCCTGGCAAGGCTCTTTGCAGAGTTTCGCAACTGACTGAGATTCGGTAGTTTAAATAAACCGGGCGATTACAATCGTTCGATCGAAGAAACGAATGAATATGAAGAAATTATCTGAGATCAATGATCCAGTAACGCCGACAGGACGACAATATTGAGTCCGATTTAATAGTTGTCGTGCCGGATAAAGTACAATTAAAATGTTGACTAATAATCGTTCGTTTCGGATTCGATTAGATCAGTAGACGTGATTTCGTTTCGGTTCGTTTTAAACTATAATCCCAGATTCGAGGTGGGTACCTAACATATCTGATTTATTCGTTTGGGATCGATTTGATTAGTAGAAATAGGCGGTGTAACTGTCACAATACACTGTGGACAAGCCAAATGAATTTTAATGGGGGTATAATGAATTTATTCAATTCGCTATATTGATATGTTGTTGAAAAAATTGGTGGAAAAGTTCTGTTGTTCGTACAGAATGTTATTTTTAATGTAATTACTTTGTAGTAGAAGGACATAATTGGTCATTTTTACAACTTTATGTGGTTAATAAAAATTAATTCGAGTCGTAATATTTTATTTTTATTTTTTTCAGAGATGGCAACGTCGATGGTTCGTGCTGTACGATGATGGGGAATTAAACTATTCTGTCGACGAACATGTAAGTATTTGTAACAAATATTTTCCTCAACTTTTCTCTATTAATTATTATAACACTTGAATAGAAATTTTTTACCTAAACCCCTTTCATCTGTACGATCTTGATATAAATTTAAAAGCTTTTCTAGCTATTTTATCGACATTGCCTGTAACAAAAATTTTCTAAATAACATCCGTTTACAATCGGTTTTCCATCAATTTCCAATCCATAGAAAGTCGGCGGCTATTTCTGTCCGTATAAATTTATATAAGGACATCTAATTGTATGCGCTTCAGGTCGATGACATTTTTGCCTGCCGTTAAACCTTTGAACCGGAAAATTGCCTTTGAAAATAGCAGTAGCGAAAGAAAATTTCACCAGTGCACCGGGTACCGTAAGTGCATTTTTTCGTCGCCGCGAATGCAATGTAATAACACGAAACCGCAACGTTGTGCGAAAAAATGCAGCGGTCTGCTAATATTTATAATCTTGTAAAAATAGAAGATAAACGATTCGATTCAGGAGTTTAAGGAAGTGCCCCGAGTTTAGAGAAATGCCTTTTTACTCTCGAGTTAACATTTTTATGTTTGCGTTTTCACTATAAGTACTTAAATTTCTATTTGTTTTTTAAGCAGTTTCGATTAAACGTTCCTTTTTTCCGAGTAATTAACTTGCACAAATAATTGTTTTTTTACATGGGCCTATTAGCGTTTTGCTTATGATTCAGTAGCTAATTTTAGAATGTCGTAAAAGTCCTATTTCGACATTACGCAGCCTTTCGAGCGACTTTAATTAATAAAAATTAACTGCAACCATTACAATTTGTTGTTATTTATTTCTGCTCGTTTATAGGAAGTCGTTTCTTAGCGATTTTAATTTTTTTATGGACGTTCATTGATCGTTTTCACTTTCCATTTCAACGCCACAATTAAGGCTAATATGTGTCTAATTTGTCCAATTATCTCCCATATGGAGTCCGCAAACTTGCGAAGAAAATAATTCGCGATCTCTTCTACCTTATTATCTTCCTACGTATAACAGTACCAATAAGAGGATAAAAGGAATAATCTACGGTTTGTTACATTGTTCGTGAGGAATATATTATTAAACGGGGCATAATAGAGAGGTAGGTCGTAATTTGTACCGCACAGTTTAGTGACAAAAATAGGTCAAAACTTTTTGACGAAATTATGTTCATGAATTGAAAGTCTTGCGCGGGGTATAGAAAATAATGTGATTAAGTAACCATTAAATTACCTACCTTCCGTGCAAAAAAAACTCGAAAATGGGAATTCGCAAACGATCATTTTAATTTATTTTCTTGTTTACTAGTCCGGTTGACGAGACCGTCAATCTACGGTAATTTTAGATAATAATGTCTGCGAGTTTTTTCTTCTGATATTACATTAGCCTCCTTCGACACGCAATATTTTTTCACGTTTACACGCTAATTATAAGAAATACGCCAACTAACATAACTCGCGTTGTCCATGTTGAAATTAATGAATAAATTATTCTTAAAATATAGAGTATAGCAAATCTTGAATCTTGAGATAATTAGGTAGGTATTATACAGTCCAACTTAAATTGTCAAGTTAATTTTTTTGTATACCTAATTAATCGAAATCTTTCATTTAAAATAGATTGGGTTTTTTTAAGTTTTTGAGAAATAATTTATACTAATAAAGGGTATTTATAATGCATGAGGATTTGCGGTAAGAAAGATTAAAATAAAACTGCGACTTGCAGACTAATTGCAATGTTTCCAATAATTATTAACCTCATGCAAATAATTATTCCACGAAGCATCTTTTCCCCACGTTATATAAATATTTCATTTCCTTTCCCACATATTAAATACAAGGTTATATCGAGTTTTGCTTCAAACCAGTATCTATAGTATGTCCGATGACACGAGGATGCTAAATTACAGATTTTCTTCTATATACAGCAAAATTTTACCAAAGAAGTCTAACATACATAGCATTTGGTATTTAAAAAACATTAATAAATTCATAAATCAATTTCTAATCGACTGATTTTCCAATAGAAAAATCGCTTCATAAAGCAACCTAAATATGAACCTATCGAACAATAAAAAACAAACCTCACGTTTTCATCGAGCAATTAAACATCGGTTTTAAACAATTAAAATTCGCCGTATCAATAAAACCGAACTGCTACGAATACGAAAAAAAAAAACTTTCACTCCTTGTACGCCGACTTGCCCATATACCAATTATTTTATTCGCTTTCAATAAAGGTAAAGTCATTCTTTTTCTAATGGACATCCGCTCCGACGTTTTTGAATCGCCGATCGCAATTCGAAAGTTCCTTTACGTTTTAATTGAATCGACAAAATGATTAGAGAGTTTACCGTCGCAACAATGGAAGTTAGCATGCGCTTCGCATGACATTAACAATAAAAAATATATAATATCTTTTATTTCAAAACGCTAATACGCGTTGACTGACGGACGGATTGATGTTTATATTATGCGCGTTTAACGTCTCTATGCATATATTATAATTAGAAAATTACGTGTATCTATTCTGCAGTATGATTGACAGGTGGATAGGAAAAATAGACTATCAAATAGATGTGTTATGGTTACTTTGTTTGGTTTATTTTTATAAATGTTTCAAGGAATAGTTTGAGAAAATAGAAGAGATAGATAAAAATTAAGTAAGGTCTTAATTAAGTACCTATTGTGCTAAGATTTCGTCGTCATATTCTTCCTATAGTTTGACGGCCTTATCTGTAGAAGCATCGAACCGGTTCGGTTTGGTTAATGAAAGCATTGTTTCAGCCCGATACGGTTCCCCAAGGCTCGGTGGACATGTGCAAGGTCCTGGAGGTGACCGGCGCCGAGCAGGTGACCGGCCATCCGCACTCCCTGGCGCTGACCAGCCCGGACCGCGTCACCTTCGTGAAGGCGACGAGCCGCGAGGAGGCCCGATGGTGGGCCGAATTGCTGGCGGTGTTCCCGCGCCGGCACAAGCGCAGCGCCACCTTTCCCGGCGGCCGCGCCTCGCCCAGCCTGCCGCAATTGGGGCGCAGCGCGTCGCCGCAGCCGCCGCGGCCCCGCGACCTGCCCGTCACCGGGCCGAGTCCGCGGGCGAACTTCGAAACGCCGCCGCTGAAGGAGGAGCGCGAATCGCCGGCGAGGGAGCACGACGCCTGCAAAAGCGCCGCGGCGACGCCGGCCAGGAGCCTGCCCATCGAGACGCCGGCGCCGGGCGTGCTGACGCCCTATTTGAGACCTGGTGAGTGTTTTTGTTGAGTAGATTTTTTTTATTGTGGTCCATTGGGTACCTACATAAAAGCATTAAAGTATCCTTTGGACGAATGAAGCTTTAAGATAAAGGTTTCATAATGCATGTAAAAGGTTCTTTTAGGAACAGGTCGCTTTGAAGACATTTTAAAGCGTTGAACTCAATTCAAATGTATCAAACTTTATAAGTATTCTTTTTTATAACAACATTTTTTTCCATATTTATAGAAAATTGTTGCATACAAATGAACGGTTAATAAATTAAAAGCGAAACATAATAGTATACGTGATGCATCTCTGCTTTCTAGAATATATAGAATTCCTGATCCGCTCGGATAATCCGCAAACAAGGTCATCCGTTTTAAAACCTTATTTGTTGTATTTTGAGCACGAGATGACGAGATGCCCCTTCACAGGTGCATGCGCCCGCTTTGCGCTTACATAACCTATTATTGTTGAATAATCTTTTAACGGATTCCTGTATAATGATCGGTATTAGGCTGCGCTAATAGGATGTGTGCCGGCTTATGTCCGTAAGAATGTGGCGTGAATGAAAGACGAGTGGAAATCGATGCGAAAGGAACGAACGAAATATAGGAATACCAGACATTTTTCTACTGGCTTATCTAATACTAATAGGCCTTATAAATTATCGAATTTCGAATTTATGGCCGTACTTAACATCGACATTAGGCTAATAACAAAATGATTATGGAAATTTTAAAAGGCATTTTCCATTATTTCGTCATCGATTCGGGTCAAACGGCGTACTTGCGATTGCATTTTAACGACACTTCTATCATTTTCACGGAATTATCATTTCCCAAAGGTTAGTAGAACTGTAATTTACATAATAAACAAGGACATAACGCAAATGAAATTAACTTTCGCGATTAATCCAATAAATTCAGTCTCAAACAATGACTAATTAAGCGTATTAATCGTTCAATCCGTTTACAGTTATTATTAATTAGAGCAGAGGAGAATTTCGATTTTATTCTGAAAAATTGTAAGAAACGACACGATAAAAATTGATGCAGAAGATGGACGAGATATAATAGAAATAGTGTAAATATTCTCACGCGCAATTTTCAAATGTGGAGCTTCATGTTATTATGACGAAAAGCGGACAAGTGCATGAACGAGGTCAGATTCAACCATTGGAAATGCAAAGCCCTATCGCCGCCATTAATCTGATATAGAGCGATTATTTCGCTAATTTGCTTATATCTTATCAAGTCCACTGGTAATTCCTCGGAGTGCTTACACATAATGTGTAATGTTATGTTCGTTTGAACTCGTCGCAGACGTTCCTTATTGAGATTTATGGATATTTTCACGTTCCAAGAATGGAAAAAAATCATTCATTCAAACCAAAAACAAACCGCAGTAATTTTTTTAGCAGGAAAACAACGGCGTGTACGCAGATAATAATTAATAACAATACACAATCGAACATTGCTAAATATTTATACTCCTTTTGACGCGTTTAATTTTATTACTGCATCCCAATACAGCGATCCTTTCTACTTGCGTCAATAACACCATCGATTTTATGTATTTGATTTTCTTTTTTCTTGCATTTATCATTGCAAACGAACTTGTTGATTTAACCATTTAGAATCGCTTTATACAAATAGGAATGTCGTCCATTATCGCGCTCTAAATCTCGAACAAACTACACAAACATGAAATTATTACTATTCTTGTCACAATAAAAATTTAGTACTGCTCCGTACTAAACCAGTACGCGCAGGAACGTTGCAAGATTGAAAATCTCAGTTCAATTTCAAAGCATATGTAAATTGAGAATGGTAATTTTGATTCAATTCTTTAAACTTTTGAACTTTAAAGGGTCCTTTAATAGATGTAATTGAATTCATAAACAACTTTAAGGTTGCTTTAAGCTTAAAGTAGAGTTTAAAGTTACAGTTACGATTTTTCAAATCAAAGTTTGAACCGCCAAGTTAAAGATTCTGCCTGTTTTATGTGATGAATAATTTCAATTTGCAAAAAGCAACCTTTCCATAAAGGAAATAAGGTTTTAAAGAAGCTTTATCCTTTTGCTTTACTATGATGTTAAATTACATTATATTCTTATACAAGGTAGTCCAGAATTATGTATAACCGATAGGTTATACTTTTTTATAAACTTCTTCTGATCCACCTTGTTTAAAAGTTGTGCATGTCCTTAATAACATCCAAATTCCTACGATTTATTGCCTTGAAAAATCGAAATAAAAACCAGCTAAACCTCCTTTACGCGGAGTAGTAAGCCTAATTTGTCGTATATTTTTTTCCCCCATCTTTCATTTGAATACCGTAGCGCGGATATTTCGATCGCACCGAGCGCCGTATATCTGCGAATCTGTGTTGCGGTCATCGGTTATTTCCAGAGGTTATTACTCTGTAATAACATTCAGGTCATATGTAGGTAGTTCTTAGTACACGTAGGTATTTGTACAAGGGACGAACGTGCCGCTCGAAAAGAATCCTCGACTATTCCGATAACGTTGCTCACCAATTTTTTTTTTGTTATCTGGGATAAGTACACAGGAAATCGGTTCGAGTCGAGCCGATTTTACCTGTTTGTACGGAAAATGGTCTAGCGTTTGGCCGGAGCAGTGCGTTGTAATAGAGCTAAAATACAATGCTATTTATCTCGTGCTTCAATAAAATATGTATGTTAAATAGGTTTAAAATGTAAGCGATGATAAAATGTAGCTGCAAGGTATCGTGATAGTATCTACATTTTCTCTATAAATTATTTTTTAAGATTTAAAATGAACGTAGAATTAAATTTGTATGTACTTGTAGAGAAAACATTTAGTTAATCTACTGTGGTGGAGTATAAAAGAATAGCATAAATTAAAGTACAAAAGGATTTTTTTTATTAAAAAAAAACTGTTGAAGATTAATTATTATAGTATCATTCCACTATGAATTGTAAAAATATCATGATACGTCACTGATCAACCCCTCGCGTGCAATAAACGTATCCTTTACACATCACACCTATCATCTTCTCGGCATCTCTTTCAAGGCCTTCCCGTCTTTTTGTTTTAACCATTTTTTTCTTCTCCCCTCCCGACTCCGGCGTGTACCTAATAAGTAAATGCTCATTTTCCGATGCTCGTCGTTTATTTTCTTTTATTATTATTTGCTTCTTTTTCCCCGTATCCGCAGATTACCTAGTGAGCAGCGGCTCGCCACCGACTCGAGACAAATTGCGATGCGACGATAAGGCTCGGGCGCGAACGAATTGGAGGAACGAAAGGCTGCGGGACATCGCGACGTCCCTTACCGAGCACCGGCCGCCGGCCGCCGAATCCACCACGCTGACCTTGCCCGCCGAGGGCCTTCTGCATCTCAAAAAGGTAAACGTCGGATCGCCCGAGAACCGGCCGAGCCGGGCCGGGACTCGCGCTACGGGCGCATTCAAACGCGTTCGATTTGGTTCGGATACCGAGTGGATATGTTGGAAAAATAATGCGCAAAAATTTTTCCTGCTGGTAAATTGGGCGCAGGAATATTTCGGATGGAAATAAGGGGAATTATTTGAGGTCATTGATAAACTTTGAGAAGGATATTGTTTTACATGTCGTATGAATTCACAGTCTAGGGTAAGATAGGGTATGGTAGGGTAGGGTAGTTTCATAGTAGATTCAGTATAGTTTCAGAGTAGATTTAGAATAGTTTCAGAGTAGATTCAGAAGAGTTTCAGAGTGGATTTAGTATAGTTTCAGAGTAGTTTTAGCGTAGAATAATATTACTTTCAGTCGAGTATTTAGAGTAGATTCAGAAGAGTTTCAGAGTGGATTTAGTATAGTTTCAGAGTAGTTTTAGCGTAGAATCAGAGTAGTTTCAGTCCAGTATTTAGAGTAGATTCAGAATATTTTCAGAGTAGATCATTCAGAGTAGTTTTAGCGTAGAATCAGAGTAGTTTCAGTCGAGTATTTAATGTAGATTCAGAATAGTTTTAGAGTAGATTATCCAGAGAAGTTTCAGATTAGATTAAAAGTAGACTCTAAATAGTTTCAGAGGAGTTTCAGACTAAATTCAGAGTTTAGGGGAAGATTTAAAGTAGTTTCAGAAAAAGTTTCATTCTATATTCAGAGCAATTTCAGAGCATAGTCAGAATTGTTTCAGAGTAGTTTTAGAGTATTTTCAAAGTAGTTTCAGAGTAGATCCAGAATAATTTCAAAGCAGTTTCAGGTTAGATTCAGAACAGTTTCAGAGCAGATTCAAAACGGTTTCAGAATAGTTTTAGAGTAGATTCAGAATAGCTTCAGAGTAGAATTAACCTATAAGATTAAAATCTTCCATTCCGTTTGCGCCCAATTTACATCCATTCGAATTTATTAATTATACGAAAACATGTACCTGCAAAAATATCGTTGATAAAATAACAGCTCATTGTAAACGACCCATTTACTTTTTTATGAGATGATAATAAAACGTTAGAACGTTTTTTTATTGCATTGCTAAACAACAGTTACGAGATCTCCGAATTATTATAAAATTTATTACTTTGCTAATGCGGCGTTACCGAGGTACTCCTCCGCAAAAACGCACTATCCGTTCATAAATGTAATGGCGAATGCGATTTAGGTCAAGATCGTCGCCGGTAATTCAGATAAAAATGCATGCAGGTTGCAGGTACATGACTTTGAAGACTTCCTGACTTAGGTTACACTTTATTACCCACTACATATTAATTCACTACTGCTTATAAGATTACTCTTTAGTCTCAGTAACATAAACTTTTTTCCTTATTATTTTTATTAAACATAATCAGTATGAGTGTAAATAATATTTTTTACTCTGCTTAAAACTTCAAATCATCTTTATCCTCTTACTGAGCCTCCCTTTCAATCAACTCGTTGAGTCGGCGAATAATTATCGATGCTCCCAAAGGGCTGGTTGTGGCAGAAAATAACCGATTCGGAGTGGATCAGACGGTGGACGGTGCTCTGCTACCCGACCATCCAGCTGTTCCAAGACCAAGACGAGCAGAACAACGCCAAACTGACCATCGAACTGTCCACTATCACCAATTGCGTCGAAGTGCCGACCAACTGCAAATACGGCTTCGAGATCCGATGGTCGGGGCAAGCGTTGATTTTGAGCGCCGTGACGCAGAGCATCCGCTACAATTGGCTGCAGGCCCTGCGACAGGCGGCGAATTTGAGCAGCGACGGAACGAACACCATCGGCAGTCCGATTTCCCCGACGACGCCCAAATCGCTGCTGGCGTCGGCGTCCAGCGATGAGGAATACAAGACCGCTTCGGAAGGTGGTGAGTTAGATATACCACAAGAGTAAATTTTCCTTTCGTTAACCTCATCTAGTATCCTAAAGAACCTTACGGTGCTTTTACTATCTTTTTATTCAGTCAGTTTATTTTTTTTTTTTTTTTTGGTCGATTAACCCTATCAGTTTAAACCTTGAATTTACTAACGAGGGGTTTTCGTAATTGAAAGTAATTTCTCGAAAGTAAAGAGAAAGTCGCACGTACGCCACTGGAAATATATACGCGAGTACTCGTACGTATTGTGTGTGTGTACATATTGAATCGAATCAGTTGTCGAAGTCGAGAGGAAAAAAATTATTGACAATGACCCAGTATTTTTATTTTGCAATTGAAAGCTTAGGTGACCATAACAATTCAATCATCGGTTATTGGTTTACCGATTTTTTTTTCTTCAACTCGTCGTATCAAGGTTAATTCGTTTAACACAATAAATTTGTTTGTTTGTTTATTTATTTATTTATTTATTTATTTATTCACTTGGTTTAATTATGAGAAAATTGAAAGCTTGCAAAAACGAGTACCAAAGTTTGTTAACAAAACACCTCAAAAATTAGTCGCTGCTTTACCCATTAATTACCAATTAAATTATTAAACAATTAATGGAAAATGAAATGCATTAAGGTCGAAGAGGTTCGGAAGATTGGGGCGAACTGTCCCCGTCGCCGCCATTGAACAGGCTATCGTTCAACAAGGTGAAAGACAGGGCGAGACTGAGGCCTAGATTACCGCGCTGCCAATCCAGGCACTCTACTGTAGATAGTACGTCAACAGACGAATTAGACTGTGCCAAAGAACCCGATTCGGTTCACGTTCACAACGCCATCAACGCCAAGCAGACCGACGAAATCGCCGAGCTCCACAAGAAGCTGCAGAAGGCCGAGGACGAGGCCAGGCTGCTGCAGGAGGAGATTGCTAGGTAACGAACGAATGGCCTAGTAAGTAATCGCTCTTATCGATCGTTCGTTTCAGATTGAAGAAATTTCAATCGGACGCAGCCGTTCGAGAGAAAAAGTCCAAGGAGATGCTGTCGAATCTGGAGCAGGTAGAAATCGAATTGAACCAAAGAAACTCCCAAATGGAAATCGATTTCCTGAAGGAGCAGCGGGCGCTGCAGCGGCGGCTGCTCGAAGCCGAATACGTCGCCAGGCTGCACGAGGAGAAATGCGACATTCTCGCCAAGGACCTGCAAGTGAAGCAAAAGGAGCTGCTCGGCCTGCAAGACGAAGTGTTCGCTTCGAATAAAAAACTCAACGAGGAACGGGACGAGACCGGCAGGCTGCACGACAAAATACGGGAACTCGAAGGCAAATCGAACCGCAAATCGAAGGTGTACCAAACTGATTCCATCAACGAACTGATCGACATCAACATGGACATCGACGTCGACGAGATGAACCCAAATGAACTGAAGGAGTACTGCTTGGACCTGCAGAGCCGCTTCGAGCGGGCCGTGCAGGAGATCAGGGCGATGAAACGGGCGCTTCGCGACTGCGAGGAAAAGTGCGACGTCCTGGAAATAACGAACGGCCGATTGCAGGGCGTCATGGAAGCGAGGGAACAGGAACGGGAATCCGAAGTGAAGCTTCTGTCGCAACGATTGGACCATCTGACGACGAAATTGATCGCCACCGAGAAACAGCTCAAAGCCAAATCGAAGAGCGAGGCCAGAGACAAGAGGAAATCGCTTTCGTTGAAAGGTACGTTGTGTAGACGATTAATACTGTGAGGTGTAATTGTGTGTCGTTGCAGGTAGAGAGAGCTTCTCGATAAACAAGGAGCTCGAAGATAAAATCACGGAACTGGAGGCTAAAATCATCGCTTTGGAACGGGGCAAATCGAAGCGGGCTTACAAAAGGGACAGGAGCAGCGATAGGTCTTCGCCCGTCGATAAATCCTTGAGGCGCAACCGCAGGAAGAGCTTAGACAGCGCCACCACCTCCGAATCGATGAAGTTGCTGATGCGACTGAGCAGTCTCGAGACGAAGGTCACGAACGCCTCCGACGAATCGTTGAACACGCTGCAAGGCAGCACGATGGACTTGAGCGCCAAATCCGAACAACTCCATTCGAACAACAACAACAAAAGTCTGGACTTCGACGTTCTATTATCGACGGCCAAGCTGAAAGTGAACGAGTGCCTGAACAACGTCTATTTGTTGAAGAACCACCGCAAGAGGGCGTCGTCGCCCAACATGGACAAGCTCGTCGCGATCGAGAACTCCTTGAACGAACTGTTGGACATTTTGAACAAACGCGACTGCGCCATCGCCGCCGACGAAATCGACGTCATTAACACGTCGGCCGGCGCCGTCGTCAAGCAGTTGCAAAATCTATTAGTTGATAAACTGGCGAGTTTAGCAGAGAAAAAAAGACTGTTAAAAGTAAGTAAATCGTGTGAGGAATTGTCTTCTCAGTCGCCACCAAATTGTATACACGATGTTAATTAATTGAGTGCCTATACTTCAGGATGTGAATATTTGGCTCATTTTAAGAAGAAAAGTTCATATCATTGTATGTCCTAAACCTATTAGTTTTCGAGCTACATGGTGTTAGAGTTTTAGAAAAAAAAAACTTTTCCATCATAATTTTCTTATTACTCCAGATATTTTTATAAAATTTTGTATACACTTTAATTATTAAGGAGCATTTTTTGAGGAATAAGATAAAAATAAAATAAAATATAAAAATATAATATCTGGAGTTATAAGAAAATTCTGATGGAAAAGTTATTTTTCTTTCTAAAATTGTGGCACCCTGAAACACCCTGTAGCACAAAAACTAATAGGTTTAGGACATATATTGATATAAACTTTTCTTCTTAAAATCATCCAAATATTCACATCGTGAATATAAATCCGATCATCATACCCTCTCGCCAGCTTCATCTAGGTACACACTGTATACCGTGTTATACTATTTCTAGCCATAATTCGACATGGCATAAAAAACGCCTAGCGCCGACTTCAAAGGTACCGGTGCACATGGATGTACCGTTTTTAGTATCAAAATTAAATAGATTAAAGTATTAATTAGGTAATATTTAATGTACTCACTTTGTCAGTGAAATTTTATGTCAAATAAATTTTATAAGTTAAAATTAATAATTTTAAAAACAAGTAAAGTTTAACCAAGGCTTTGAGAAATTGCGAAAAATTTTCAGACCGCGCGAGCCACTGATCTAAGACAAACAAACTGAAGAGCGAGATTAATTAGATGAATATTTGGTGATTTACGACCGCGAGCCAGCTGCCGGTCCGAAATCGCGTGATCGCACAGTTGTAGAATTAATATCAACTATTGGTGAGTTGATGTTTAAAACTTAAGTGAGCCACATCAGCGCGGCTCAGCGGCTATACCGGGGCGATTCGCGCTTATTGGCAATGCGAGAGTATGGGTTTTTTAGCATTCTCGGCGCTTATAACGCGATTTATTTCGCGTCCCCGGTACAACGGTCCAAATCGGATTAAGACTAGAATCACTATACTATTTTAGAGTTATTTACAGCATTTTCAAACCATATTTCGTACAAGACGAACGGTATTACAATACGCCTTAATTTCAGGAAAACAATAATTGGGATACGGCGGGAAGATTGCAAATTCTAGCGGAAAAAGTGGCCTACGAAAATATACTAGTTAACAGGATACAGGAGGCGCTCGTGTCACCGGCGACGGGCGAAGCCATCTGCGAGCGTTTGGCCAATAAGGAAATCCGCGAGACCGCCTGTCTCATCATAGGCCTGCAGAACAAATTGAACAACTCCAGTACGGCGCAGCAGCCGTCTTGCAGGACGAGCGCCGAGTACTTGTCGAAAATCCTGGCCAAGTGTTTAGTATCGGCGGCGCACGGTTTCAAATCCTGCAAGAACTTCGTAGCGATACAAGGTACGATTCCGCCGCCCATCTAATTCCTCGCGAATATCAATAGTACGTTACAGGTACGTCCATTAACCTCCTCTGTGATGAAAAACGCCACCTGGACTCCCTGTTGGCCTCGTACAAATCGATAAAGTTACCACAACTGGCGGAATCGTTGGCGCTGGAGACGGTGAATCAGTCGTGTCGCATCGATTCCGCGACCAATGAAATGACCAAAAACGCGCGCGAAGTCGTCGACGCGGAGCTGGTGCGCTCCGAAGTCGATCACGTGTTCCTGAAGGCAGCCCGGATGTTCCAATCGAATCTCGACGCCGATCACGCGTTCTTCTTCAGCTTCTTCGCCTCCGAACGGGCGGCGCTCGAGCTGTGGTCGGACTCCGTCGGCGAGCATCTGTCCAAGGAGATCAATAAGAGCGTAGCCGAATTGACCGAGCTCTATCAGAACAATTTGAATAAGTTTCTCAAACAGAATTGGGGGTACGTCGCGTATATTCCAAACTATTCAGTCGTTATCTAACAGCGGTTTTTATTTGCATTTGCAGTTGTAGAGTAGAATCCGAACATAATTCTCGAATAACGACGAAAATGCTGCACGAGTACGCCGAGGTGATAGCCCACAAGGCCCTAATCGATGCCAGAATAGCGGTCTTAAACGGGCAATACGTCCCCGACGACTGTCGCGACTCGAGAAACAGCCTCGATTGTTGGTTGGAAAATGAAAAGTACTGGTCTTTGCTCGAAGACCAGTCTCTTCTTCAAATAAACCAAAGTTTAGAAGCCGAATTCAATTGTATGATCGACAGATTCAGCGAGGAATGCTACGCCTTGATCAGCCGGCCGGAGCTCGAGGAATTGGTCGGGCTCCTGAACGAGATGTCGTCGAGAATCGCCGATGTGCAGAAACACTTGGAGGTGCCCGTTAACGAAGACGATGCCGTTGTAGAAAACTGGAACGACGTTTGCCAGAAATGCACCAGCTTGAAAAACAGCTTGGAGGATATACATAAAACCTTAAACGAAAGCACATCTAAAAAGTAAGTATTATACGCGTACGATTAGATAAAAGTAGTAATTTTGTTGTGTTGTAGGTATAATGTATTAGACGATGAAAGACCGATTTATCTAAGGAGCGAATATCTTCCTCAAGTCGAAAATCTCCATTCAGCTTACCGAAGAGCTCTGGCAACGTGCCAGTATAGACACAAGGAATTGGACGTGGAGCAATTACAACAATTGTGCGAAAGAGTATTAGCCACCATGGAACAGTGGTACCTGAGAACCATCAACGAGCTGCGCGAAGCTCATTCGAGAGAAGTCGAAATACTCAAGCAGGTACTTGCGAGCCGAATTCCAAGCGAGCAACAGGCCATTTTAACTCGTTGTATTTTTTCAGGAGAAAGAACAAGCTCTGGCCGAAGAAACGCAAGCCACTTTGGCCGCTTTGGATGCGATGCGTAAGGCGCACGTGGCCGAAGTGCAACGCGAGGTGGCCAAGTTCAAGCAGGACTTCATCAGGCAGCATCGCGATCGGGATCGGGATTTGATCGATTTCAGCGAGAAACTGTCGATGAAATCGTTGGAGGTGGCGGCGCTGGAGGAACGACTCGACTCGGCGACCAGGCAACTCGCCAACGCCCAGCAACACATATTAAAACTCGAAAGGAACCCACAGATTCCTGCCATACAGGTAATTGAATATGGAGTGGAGAGAATATAGAGTGGAAAAAGCGTGTATTCAATAGATGGCACGAATTGAATTTTGCTCATACTGTCACTTGTCATTTAAGGTAGATACCAGTGTTGCCAGATGTAGCGGAATTGCACTACTTTTAGGCGATCGTGTCTAAGCCTTATATGGCTAAAATAAATGAAACTTAAATGCTTAAAATGAATGAAATTTTCTATCACATAATAGTATCAAAAATCTTAATTAATATATGTCTTGAATTTCCTATTACTAAAAACGAAAAAAACATGATTATTCGTCCATTTGACTTGAAAACGCAATATAAAAATAGTAATAAAGGTTCAAATAATTGAAAATAGCCAAAACCTGTTATAAAAAACATTTGTAACATTCAACGCTTGTGAACAAAACCATTAATGTCGCGTTCTAATTTTTTGATTTTTCTCTTTTCTCCCTTAAATGACATGACAATGTCAAAATTGTCTAATTCAAATGGGTTTTGCCACTTTATATTTTATTTCTCCATGAACGAACCTAACGTGATTTTTGTCTAAATTTCGTTTTCTTTTTCAGAACTGACGGTGTTTATCGCGACCGTGCTTACGGTATTAAGTAAATTCAAATATACTAGTCCTAACAAGCCTCATATACCAGTATAGTTAGTACAACATTCACCGTTGTGTACAGATAATCGCACATGTTTGACTCAAGTTTTTAACCGTTGTTTTTACCCTTTCTAATTTTATTTATTTTTTTTTGTACCTCAACTTCTTTATTTCCATAGCTGTACAAAATGTTTTTTTGCATTAGTTAACAGTTTAATTGTTTATATGTGTTGGGTTTTACGGAATGTTTATATTGAAATATACGATTATTAATAATTAAAAAGCGCTTTATGAATAATTCCCCTAAAATAAGATGGGGGTCGTTTTGATGGAGTTAAAGTTGGTTAAAAGTTTATTTATCACATAAAGGAATATGTAAATTAAATCGTGAAAATATAAGATTTTACTGTAAAATAAATGTAATATAAAATTTGATTCGTCTATAAAATACTGTAATAGCTTAAATAATATCAATAGCAACAAAATGACTAGCTTAATCTGCTTAGACCAGTCGCATAAAGAGTTAATTTTTAAGGTCGAGCAATTCTGATAGACGAGTGATTTTATTTGAGAAATTTGAATTTCAAATCTCGCCTATAACATTTTGAAAGCTTTAAATCTTAAAAGCCTAGATACATTTAATAACAAGCATTATATTTCTGCTAATCAAAATAATTTATAGCTTTATTCAAGATACAATGGGTTGGTAAACAACCTTTTTTCCAAATGCGACTGGTAAATTAAAAATGCTAAAAATCACCGAGGAATTCGAAAATACGAAATTATTCAAAATTTTTGAACTCCAGTAAAATCACAATTTCTTTTAAATCTAATTAAAAGCTCGAACGCTTATATGTTGCCAGTCTCCCTAAAACAAAATATATTTCAAATTTAATAAATTCAATTCTAATAACTAGCAACAATAATTATAGGATAGGAAACGCACCCATCAGTGCCCTTTTTGATGCATAAAATCCTACCTATTCTACGATTTATCTCAAATATGTCAGTACTTACGTTTATGCCTATATCCCATCCCGATCCCGCTGGATTAGCAGCGCATATGCCTTCCCTCCTCACAATAACTCCACCATTAGTAGTAGCCCAAACTTGATTATGGCTGACAGACACTTGCCTAAAACCCGTCGTATCAGGAGCAGAATCTGGAAAATCAATCGCAAATCAACCATCACGTTCAATCAATCGCGACTTCAAAACTCACTCAGAATCGTAGGATCGGCAACTATCGTTTGCCAATGGGTCCCTTCAGGAAAAGTCGACGTTATCTCCTTTCTAACGTGCAATCGCCCCAGTTGATCCACAGCCCACACTCCGGTACTGCTGACCGATATCTGCTTGAGCGGCGCCCCCGGCGGCGATTCTATACACATCCACTTATCCCCTTCCAGTTTATCTTCGGTGATTCCTAAACGATAATAAGCACAGCCTTTTTTCCCGACAGCCCACACCTGCTTGTACGGGCCGCAACTAATACTGTTCAACGGTTGGTCGGTATTCACGTGCTCCCATACATGACCCTATAGAACACAGAGATAATATTTTGATATTAACAGCTCCCCGCTTCTAAACCGACAGTGACAAAGTATGGTTGCCTACCCATCAGGCGCTAAATACGACCTACAATTCTCAGCAGAATATACAACGATATCGCTCGAAACTTACAGCAGGATTAGATCTGCAAACGCCCACTCTAACCATAGCCTGCCCGCCGGTGGCCAGCGCCCAAAGGCTCACGATAGCATCGACCGAATCGCCGACCGGCTCCAAGCTCACGTCCATCAGCTTCGTATGGCCCAATTCCTGCCAGGGGCCGGTGGTGGCGATGGCGCACCGCCTGTACCACCGTCGCCGTCGCACGTAGTCCGTGAACTGCTTGTTCGCGTGATAGGTCGATGGGAAATCGACGGCGTACTGCCATCCCTCGCGATCGACGCCGCCCGGCACGTGGAAGTCCGTCATCCAATCGGACACCCATTGCCAATGGACCGACAGCAACTTCACCTGGTCTCTAGTGCGTTTCTTTTTGCCCGTCGCGTCGCTCCACATGTATCTATCGGTCGGCAGGCCTGATGGTAAAGAATTAGAAATCTGCGGAGGTTCGTAAACGATTTTCGCGTACCTGCTGATGTGTAACCGGTGACGGGATTCCACCGTTGATTCTCGTACACTCTGTAATCCTGCGAATCCGTCATGGGATGAACGTTGCTGCTGTCTAGGGTACCGAGAAACCCGCCGCCCCAACCTCCGGTGTACACCCAAGCGGTTCGGTCGTAGCCGATTCCCCAGGTAACGCCGGCCCAACAGCTTTCCACCTTCTTCAAATGCCCGCCCAATTGTCTCCAGTACAAGTCCAGCATGTCCATTATGAGGACTGGGTTCTTTATGACGAGCTTGAAGGGCTGCATTTTACCCCAATAACTCAGCACGGAAACGGACTGCGGCGGCATTCGGTGTCTGAACGTCGCGAATTGCCGATCGTTGACGAATATATGGTAAGCGTCTTCGGTCGTTTCGATGCGAAGATTGAATTCATGACCTTTCACGAACGGATTGTCGCCGTCTCTTTCCTCCTCGCCCCATCTGCCTGGAATCAAACCGATACTATTTCGATACACTACACTAATTGAGTATATTACCTTCGATCAAAGCGTTTCTAACGACGACGTTTTCCGAGAACCTCGGGTTGATGTGCAAGCAGACGTTCTCCAATTCGCTGTGCGCTTTATGCCTCATTTTATAACTAATAGGAGCCTCTAAATTGATGGCTATTCGATCAGCGTCGTCGCCTATGCAACCGTTCAACGTTATAATAGTGCCGGGCATGCAGCCACCGTGCAAGGCCACTTTGAACGGGGACTCCTTGCGACTGAGGTCGAATTTCTGCAGATAGCAATCGTCCTCTCTCAACTGATTGCCCTCCAGCTGCGACGGGTCCCAGATGAAGATGTCGCCCAGGTGGGTGACGGCCCAAACGCTCTCGTCGCACGGTTTATCTGCCGAGCAAATCGTGTTATAATCATCGAATTAGTGGAAGAACGCGACTCACTTAAAGTGTCGTGTATTTTCCCGCAACTCGTAGCGAACAAGGCCTGCCATTCTTCGAGCAAGGCGTCGCTGCTGAACTGAATTCGAACTACCCTAGTGGAATGTCGGGGAATGTGGATGGCCAGTCGGGGACTGCCCGGCTCGCTGCACAATTGAACGCACGTCACATCGCCGAGACTAAACGAATGCTTGAAACAAATATCGTTAAATTCGAAACGAAATAATAGGGTAGTCGCTAAATACCATCGTTGTCGCTCCGTCGGGATTCAGTATCGTCAGCGTTCCGGTGGTTTCGATCCACTCCAGCTGCAAGATGCAATCCTGGAAGGCGGACGTGTGGAAACTGACCCTGGCTTCTCCGGCGTGTACCCAAGACGTCGTGTTGACGGCCAGCTCGTAGTTCGAGAATGAGTTTTTCAGCGGAAGCCGCATCTTCAGATCCTCCAGAATTTTCAATCTCCACGGCTTGTTGAAATGGGCGCTCGCGTTCTGGATGTCCAAGTCGCCGAACCAGTTCGGCATTTGGGATGTATCTATCGTACAAGCGCCCGATTCTACCTGTAATAACGCAGTAAATTAAATGAGAAATATACGGAATGTAGTGAGTATACATAAACAGTTTTCAAGGTTTACTACAAAGGTTAATTCCATCGTTATCATCAAGGTAACTATTAACAAACATTTTGTTGGCTGTATGAAAACTTACGCAAGACCAAGGCGCCTCGTAGTCCGCCCAGCCGAGTTCCTCGTCGTCCGCAAAAATGCAGGAATCCCTGCTGGATTCGCTCCAAACGCTCTCGTCGGTTTCCGGATGCACTTCCATGCCGACTATCGAACCAACGGAATGCACGGGGCTCCAAGCCTTCGGGTTCTTCGGCTGTATCTCGTACCTGGCGTTGCTGAGATCGCCCACGGGCAACGAGGCCGGGGCGTTGGGGGCCGAATGAGCGTGGCTATCCCATTCCGTCATGGCCGATTGTTCTATCATGCTGCTGGGCCTCGATTGCTAAAACAGTTCTCTGTTATAACTAAACTGTCGAGTCGTTGTTCGAGCGCTTACAAGATTACAATAGCTCTTGTGGAATCTGTCTCTGCTCAGGCTGGCGTTGCTGCTGGCTCTGCTGACTTGCAAGGGAGCCCGCAGGGCGTGCCAACGCTTTCCGGTTAAATTCTCCTGCGTGACGCCGGTTCGTTGGTAAATCAGCCTGTCGTCGGCGCCCACGGCGAATACTTGATCGTTCGCCGCGACCGATACGTGGCTTATGCGACCGACCATTTCCACCCAACCGCAGCCGGTCGATAGTTCCTCGCTCAAGCTCGCGCCTTCTCCTTTCACTCCTTTCCTACGAGCGCCGCGAGAAATTAACTTTGTCGTTCGGTAAAAACGAGGCAAACTCACCTAAACCAAATCTGTTTGTCGTGCGTGACGGCCCAAACGGCGCAGGTGCCTACCGATAGCTGAACGATTCGAAGATTATCGGCCGGACTGGGTACCGATACCCAGGCGTCGCCTTGCAAATTATCCCGGCCTACTCCCACTCGTATCAAAGCGGTGCCGTTTATTGTGGAAGCCCAGACGAGCCCGGTGGGCCCCACGTTTATTTGGCACACTTCGCTGCCGGGCGGCGTTTGAACGTGAATCCAACGAGCTCCTTCCGGGGATTTCGTGCTCACGCCTGATCTGTACATTACCTAAAAGTACAGGAATTGGTATAATGATTTATGAATGTTTAATTATGAATTTTTAATACCCTATTGTGAGATGTAACAGCCCATACAAGCATGGTACCGTTGACAGCACCGGCTACATTTTGACCGCCTATGGAGACGTCTATGAAAGGCTCCTGCAAAACAAATATTGTTAACAATAATCGCGTATTAACTAATTTACGTACATTTGTAGCGTCTTTATGTAAGGGTGCAATAGCGCACAAGGAATTCACAGCGCAGTATCTCCTCGATCGGACCCAGAGCCTTCTTCTTACGCAGCTTTTCCACTGTTTTTTGGGGTAATAAGTGGATGGGAAGTCGACGGCGTACGTCCAGCCATCGTGGTCTAAAGGTTGGCCGTTTAAGGTTAATTCTTTCTGCCAGTCGCCTTCCCATTGCCAAGCCATCGAGGGCAAGCGGATTTTATCGATGCTGCGGTCTTCGGAACCTTCTGCATTGGAGAAGTGATATCGATCGGTGGGGAGCAGGCGAGAAGTGAAGCCTTCTATCGGAAGCCACCTCTACAATAATGAGTTATAGAAAAAACATGAAAAATCATCACAAGCTCTAGATTAATTAGATTTTTATAAGTAAAATATACTTCCGTGGGGGCTTACCTCATTTTCGTAGGCTTCTTCCACGACTTTTATTGGTACGTCTAAACCATATACATAAACGTATATTTGATGATCTCCTCCTAGAGCCCATAGAAAGTAGGGAACTGCTGATAGTTTTTTGAATTCTTGTCCTACGTACGGTAATTCTCGCCATCCGGAGCCGGTTGTTGAAAGCGTGTGAACTCTTCCTTCGTTATTGATGCCGAAAAGTAAAGAACTAGGCATCCTCTGTTTTTATTAAAACGTTGCTAATATTAAAACATGACGAAAGTTTAAAATACTAAGTGATATATGCTGAAGCTTTTATGCTGAAGCGAACGAAGTTATTTCTACTTAGCCTTACTGTTTTTCGATAAAAATAAAAATTTACGTACTTATGACTAGTTTTAGTTTACTGACTACAAGTTTTGACAATTCAACAAACGTCAACAAAAAGAATACTGACATTCTCATTGACACTCGTGACAGAAATCATGTGATGTTGACAGTTTCACGATGGCCTGCAATATTGCAGTTATTGAAACACTTTTCAATAATTTTCTTAATTTTTTTTTGTTATTTTAGAAATAAAAGGACGAATAACGCGGAAATATTAACTTTGCACAACCCTACATACATCATTTCTGTGTTATATTTGTTCCACTTGAACTAATTTGTGTTCGTTTACGTTACTCCGAATTCCGTTGTGCAAAACGAATACATTTTGTGCATGATAGAAAGAGACGCGCATATTTATATTTAAAAGAAAATTATCCAATAATTTCCACAAGGAAATGGAAAAATCATAAAATTTACACATTATTTAATCCTATAAATATAGATATTGTTTGATAATGCGATAATTAAAAAAATAAACTAAAAATTTTATAAGGAACGTAAATGTAGGAGGTCGACATATTTGAATAAAATTAGGTCATAATTATTTTTTAAATAACACCACTTGCTTTCCTGTATACTTAATTCAAAGTTAATAGAGTGGTTATTAATTTTTATAAAGTTTACCTGATTGATATGTTATGATAGTGATGGATTTTGATTGCATATCAAGATAAATGGATGAGTTGCATTTGAATTGTCATTAGTTTGCCGCCATAATCAGATGTTAGTAAAGTATATTTTCGTAACTAGCAGCAGTGAACGAAATCCCCGAGTTTTTATAGGAGAAAAAGAGCAGTTCAGTTCAGCAATAAAAATCGTAAAATGGTAAAAAAATAGTGAATAATTCTAGTGCAAATCGAAGGAATAAGTGCATATTTGTTGATCAAGCATTCTGATGTCCAGCCATTCTGTCAATGTTATTTAGTATATCATAAAATCTGATAATTTTTTAGTTAGTATGTTAGTAATATTAGCATATAACAATGTCAGAATTTCACAGAAGATAATGAAGTGTAATTGAAACATAATTTCTTCGAGTCGTAATGATTTCGAATGCAATTAACGTGAGTAGTGCGAGTGCTTTTAGGTTATGGTCAATAATGTCCCAATGAAGTCCCTTTATAATACATTCGATTATTTATTTAACCGAGTAACTCGCTAGAGCACGACAAGATTTTAATGAAACATTTAGGTACGTGTGAAATACATGTGAATTCGTTATCAGATGCCAAACTCAACTTTTGAAAATAGAACATTCCATTACAACACAGTTTGGACTTTTAAACATTTTATTGATATACAATTAATTTTTGATTTATGCTAGTTTTTGAAAATTTCTAGCAATCGGGCTTTCTTAATGTTATCCATAATAATATTTTTGTAGTACTTTTCAATATCAATCGGGGATTTTTCTACTTCGAATGTTCATTTACAATTCAATTGCATATTTTGTAAATTTTGCAATGGAGATTGAAATAATCATTATATGTCTTTAAATGCATATTTATTAATGATTACATGCACATTATATAAGTAAACATAAATATGCAATATTGTACGAATTACAAAGCATGTGAAGTACATAGATATTAAAATTTTTATCTAGTTAATATAAATCTCACGTAGAATATAGCACAATAATTACAGTTTTTTTTAGTTAAACAAATTTTTATGTGCAATTTTCCACGATGTATAGACCTAAAGATAATTAATAATTAAATCTAAATTCGATACATTAATGAATAAATTTAATTGTATATTCTGAATTTTCAGAAATTTCCACAGTAATATCGATGTAGTCCGGAAATGGTGTGTAAAGAGGACGTTTTATTATGGTTCAAAGACTTGGATAGTCACGATCGGATAGATCTAATGTACGAGTTACTGAACATGTGTTTGCCATTTGAACTCCGTTTCTTCGGATCGTGCATCGAGGAATTGGGAAAGCACACGTACCAGGAACTGAGGGGGCCCACGCTGATGGCGAACGACCTGGAGAAATTGTCCAAAGACGCGTCGTTCAGTCAAGGCGTCGTGGACGAGAGTGTGCGACATAGATTGATAATTTACCTGTCTGTGCTTTCGTCTAGGAACTATAACGTGGCCAATTGGGTTTTTAACAATGCGTTAAGGACAGACTCTATCGAGGAGTATCTAAAAGATAATGGCAAGGAGGAAATGTTAATTAGTGAATTTTTATTGTTGTACACGATGGCGTTGCATCATCCTGCATTTACGTTTGAACAAAAACAATTTTTCAGTAGGGTGCTTGTGAACATAATCGGTATTAGGGAAAATAGGGTATCGGCCAGGCATAGTGCTCTCGGATATCCACCAGGATTCGGGTATCCAACACAAAAGGTGAGCGACAATTATCAATCAAAAATTATATTGAATCGTCCTATAATTTTATATATTTATATTATTTATCTGTTTAGCAAATGGAAGTTCCGGTGGTACCAGTAAAGACTGCTCCAACGACATGTGGCGACTCACCTGCTATATTCCATCAACCGCCCGGTTTGGGACACATGCCTCCTGTACCGCACGTTGATTTCACGATAACTCCTATAAGTTGGAATAGGGGTTTCCCCTACGGTGCTCCGGAGGTATACACTCGATCCACTATCTTCGATTAACAACATTCCTAATAACGGTCGATTTTAAAGGTCCCATCGTTTCCTCCACCTCAAATTTCTCCGCTAGTCAGTCAGGCGGCTTCGCCGAGCCAAAGTCGAAGCACGTCGCCGCTCAGGACGCCCATCGTGAGGCCTCCGCCTCCGCCGCCTCCCGGTGCAATGCAGGTAAACAATTTACGACCGTCGCATTTTTGCTAGCGTCGCTAGAAATGTTAATAATTCGAACAAGCTTTGAATAGCGATGATTTGTCTATACTATGATATACAGGATGTCCCCTGAATCGATGTGCATGGATTAGGAGGGGATTCCTTGGGCAATGAAGTCGAATATGCTTTGTATACTTTTGTACAAGAGTCGATACTTTAGGGGTTGTTGGTAGAAAACTTCAACAGAGGGTCGAATAATGAAATGTATTACTTAGTAATTGCTTTATAATTTTTTCAAAATGTCTTCCCGCTACTTGTTCTTCTAACAATTGATGATGTAGCTCTATGAAGAGTATCCAGGTGGTTTCTTATGGATGCAGCTGAAGCCATAATGTTTAACTATCTCATCTTTGTTTTGTGGTGAATTAGAATTCACTAAACTACGTCCCCAAAAATAATGGTCCAGAGGCGTTAGGTCTGGCGATCTTGGAGGCCATGGAACATGACCTCCTCTTCCAATCCACCAGTTAGTAAACTTCTCATAAAAATATTTTCCTAACTCCTTATGTATTGACTTTTAAACAAAAATGTATAAGGCATTTTCGACTGAAAATTGTCCAATGAATACCTTCCTAAGTTATGTTCATCGAGACATGAGAATTTTCGAATGGTGTTTCCATTTAACATTGTAATTTTCTGTTTTATTTTAATGTTAATAGCCTCCTCCGCTTCAACTTTCAAACGTGCCACCGCCACTCACTTTACCACCACCTACCAATATAGAAATCGTCACCGGGCCGATAGTTCCTACACAACTTCCTGTGGAGCCACCGCAGTCTGCCATACCAGTGTTTAATCCTCCGCCCGATATTAAGACCATCGAGGATGATCCGGTTAAGGTAAAATAACGAAATTTGCTACTTTGTAATATAGTTATTGGGTGTTTTGTTCTCGACCATAAATTATTGAGTGCAGGTTCGATTAAATTTTGGTGGACTTACATCAAGATGAAATTCATTTTTGAACAAATTTTATTGAATGGGTTCGTTTCAATTGTCACAACACATACATAAAACGCAAGTACCGGTTTATGATTTCTCCTCTTGCTCGATGAGTTCTTTGATTCCCGTAAACATTTCTTTGATGATGTCCTTTTCGGCGACGCCCAATCGCCGTCTGTTGGATATATCCATGATGCCTTCCTTGGATTCGGTGTGCTCTCCGCCGCTGCCTCTGATTTGCAAATTCAATCGATTGGCGATCTCCTTCAACTTGGCCTCGTCGTTGGACAGCTTGGGCAACTTGATGTGCACCGAGGCCCTGATGCCGGTGCCGATGTTGGTGGGGCACATGCTCAAATAGCCGTATCGATCGTGTCTGGTGAACTCCAATTTCTTGTCCAGCTCCTTGACGGCGGTCGCCAGCCGTTCGTACACTTTGGCAACGTCGGCTCCTTGTTCGAGCGATATGATGCGCATGTGGTCCTCTTCGTTCACCCACACGATGAACGTGCGGTTGCGGTTGAGGAAGACGCCGCGGTGCTTGGGCCAGAACCGATAGGCGTTGGCCGATTCCAAGAACCGATCGCCGCCTTTGAACAGTATGTGATCGTCGATGAGTTGGTCGATTTCCTCGTCGGTCATCTCGGTGAGGGGGGTGTAGATGCCGCGCAGATCGCCGGTGAGCGAGCACAGCGCGCAACTGACCTTCGCCTCGATCTCCTTGTATTGGGCCTCGCTCATGCCGGGATTGAACGGGTAGCATTTGATCGATCGCGCCGTTCGCACTCTCGTCGATATCACGTATTTACCTTCGGGATCGACGTTGTCCAGCTGGCCGGATTCGCCCCAGTCCTGCGGCGGATGGCTGGCGCTCTTCGGGAAGCCGTGGTAGTCCTCGATGACGGGATCGAAGAGATCGCCGAAGAGGTCGTAGCTTTCGGGACAGGCGGCGTACAGGCCGCACGACGAGTCGGGATTCTCGAGGCCGGTTTGGACGCAGTCCAACAGGGTCATTTTGTATTGGGTTTTCTTCCATTTGAGATTATCGAACACTTCGGGCGTTAGGTATTTTTTTAGGAGCGATTTGGAGTCGGAGCATAGGAACGATTCGTATTTGCACGTTAGGGTTTGCACGACGTCCGGATGGGCTTTGCCCTTGCCGCATTTGTCCTCGCATTTGCGGCTGCATTGCATTTTGAATAATTTGAGGGCGTTTTTGAGGGAATTTCGCAACACGTTTTGAATTTTTTTTGTAATAATTTACGCTTCAAAATTTGAATGGGCTGTCACGGGAAACCTTTCAACTGTCTTCTCGTTTTGTACACTATGTTGATTAGGGTTCGTTTAGACTAATTTTTTGCGACATAGTCCAGTTAGATGGTAGTTAGATGATGGCCTAAATGCGCGTTGCATTTAACTGGTATCAATCAGGAAAAATGCTGTATATTTTCTAAATTTCAAGTCTACATCGGTCCAAATGAGCTTTTCTAATTTACTAATAGATACATCGTGCATACTTGGAACATTTGAGCCCATGTAGACTTGAAATTTAGGAAATATGCAGCACTTTTACTGACTGGTACCAGTAAATACAATTCGTAGTTGGGCCAATCTGGCGCTGAACAACTCTGACTTGATTGATTTTTAACAATTTTAAAATACTTTTACTATATTTTTATCATCATTTTATTGATTTTAAAAGATTTTTTCGGTTTTTGTTGTTTTGGTGATTTTTAGAGCTAATTATTAGAGTTTAGGCTTTTAAATACTTCAGTAAAATATCACTAAGATGTACTTAATCTGAGTTATGTATTTTAAACGATTCCTATACCTATATCTACTATTTTTTTATCTTTTCAAGTTTAATTTTATTAAGTTTTAATTTTTAATTTTTAATACAAGAAAACTGCACTAGTTTTATAAAATATGTCATTGTATTTTTTTATAACTTAATTATTAATTTTACAATTTATTGTAATAACCAGTTGTTGTGGGAATTTTGTAACATTAAATGTTACAGCGGTCTGTAGATGTGAGCATTGCAAGTTACGGATGTTAACTGGGATTATCTTCTTTTTGCGTGCAATCTTTACCCAAGAACGGCGCGACGAAAGCCTTCTCAGCGGCGATCATTCCCCTCACCGACGAGTAAAACGCCCTGACTATCTCGTACTCCGTCAAGCCGATGGTCTGCCTGCTGGACAAATCGAACCGGCCCGATTTGACCTTCATGTAATCGCAATCGATACCCTTGAGAGTCAAGTTGTTCACTTCGGCCGCCTTCGCCAGCGCCTCCTTCACCCTGCCCAGCTTGGGCAGCTTCATGTGCACCGAGCACTTGAGGCCGGTGCCCAGGCTGGCCGGGTTCGTCGACAGATAGCCCAACTGCTCGTGCCTAGAGAAACTGAGCAAATCGTCGAACTGCTCGAGCGCGTCGATCGCGCGCTCGTACACCTCGCGCAGGTTGCCGTCCTTCTGCATCGATATAATGCGCACGTGGTCCTTTTCGTTGGCCCACACCACGAACGTTCTGCTGTCGTTGACGAAATAGCCGCGGCCCTCCGGGTAGAATTCGTTCATTTTGCCGAACTTTTGCACGTCGTCCATGGGTTGGGGGAGGATGTGTTCTTTTCTCAGCTTCTTCATATCGGCCTCGTCTATTTCGTTTAGTTTGACGTAGGTGCCGGCCAGGTCGCCCGTTAGCCGGCTCAAGGCGCCTTCGATTTTCATTTCGATCTTCGGATAGGCGTCCTTTTTGAGCGCCGGATTGAAGGGTATGCCTTTGAGGGCTCGGCTGATTCGGATCCTGGTGGACATTACGTAGACGGGGTCCAGTTCGCCGATTCCTCTCGGCTCCTCGCCGAAATCCCTCTCGGGATGGCCCTCTGCCCTGTTGAAGCCGTATTCGATGTTTAGGAAGTTGTTGAACATCAAATCGAAGGCGTTGTAGGCGTCCGGATCGCAGGCGTAGATGCCCACCTGGTCGTGGTATTCGAGACCGGCTTGGATGACGTCGTAGAGGCTCTTGTTGTACATGGTGGATCTGAATTTGATCTCGTCGAATATTTTGTACGGTAGGTAGGGTATGAGGGGCGAATCGGGCCAGCATTTCAGCAGTTTCCTGTAGAGGATTTGGAGCTTGCGCAACGTTTCCACGTCGATTTTCAATTTACCGCATTTCTCTTTGCACGTCTCACATCTTGATCTACGTGACATATTTTATTAGGTTTTGATGTTAAATGTCGGTTTGACGTGTCGCGTTTCCCGGCTTTTGTTCGATGGATTGTTCTATTGGTACTTTTTGTTTTCTTTATTTTGTTTCACTTTAGGAATTGGATTGGTCTTTCCATTTGTGTGTATTTTTGTGGTTTTTGTCCTTTCTTTAAGGATCGTTTTTTATAGGTGCTTTAAAATACTCCTTTTGTATGGGGGTTTTGAAGGCACTTAACATCCTATAGATGCACCGGAATTACCCACAGAAAAATAACAATACATAATTGAGTACTTGAACACTTTAATTTACTTTCTACCGACAGAAAAACTGAGTGTTAAAACTACAAGAGAAAATTCTTGGCGTTGTTTTAGAAACCATTTCAGTGCAGGGTAGAGTAGATTATAGAGAAGATAGAGAAGAGTAAAGTAGATATTTTTTTGATTAAAAATGGATTATTTATTATTATTAAGAGGATTATGTATTATTAAGAGTAGTAGAAGAATAATAGAGAAGTAGAGGAGAGGGAGAGTAGGGTAGAACAGTGTAGAGTAGATAAAGTAGAGCATAGTTAAATGGGGATTATTTGATTAAAAAATTGGGATTATTTGAGTTGACTGCAAGCTTTGAAATAAATTGAAAATTTTTGGCTTTGCAGAAGAAGAGTATAGTAGAAGAGAGTAGTGTAGAACAGTGTAGAGTAGAAAGAGTAATTAGAGCATAGTAAAAAAGAGGACATTTTTTTATTAAAAAATATTATTTGAGTTCATAACAAACTATGAAATAAATTAACATTTTTTGGCATTGCAGAAGAAGAGTAGTTCTAGTAGAGTAGAATAGAAAAGAGACGAATAGAGTAGAGTAAAAAAAGAGGAGAGTAGAGTAGAACAGAGTAGAGTAGTGTGGAGTGTTCTTGCGTGGGATTAGCGCAACATATAGTACAGGTAACAACATTTTTGATAAATTCAATGCGGAATTCCGGTGCGCCCCCTTAAAGATGGTTATTTATGAAAAATAATAATGGCTAAAAAATAGTAATATGAAATATGTATATTTCAGATTGAAGAAAAACGTGATATTTTGTGGCCTCAACAATGTTTGATAAATCCCGACGCGAAGCCGAACGGCGTCCGTTTTCCGCTAATAGGAAACGTCGGGAAGATCCGGCCGTATCTAGTTGAACAAATACAAGCAATGAATTTGGAGGGCGAGAATTCGCTGCACCGTTCGAATTCGTCGAGCAATAGTAGTTTAAACGAAACGCCGCCCGGCACGCCGTCGCTGATGGCGTCGACGACGACGCCGGCGCCGCCGCCGCACGGACCAGGCAGGGGGGGCGGCGCCGCCGACATGAAGGGGGCCCGTTCGAACGGGATGCCGTTCGGGGGGCCGAGTCCGATGCCCGACACGCAATCGCCGCCGCCGAATTTCAGCAACAATTCTGTGCCTTACAGTTTTCCTCAGCCGTTTGCCACGCTGCCGCCTAACAGGTCAATGTTTCATTATAATCAAGCCTATCGACCTAATTTTACCGCTCACTTTCCCAATTTCCCTCCGACTGACAATTTCCCGACTTACACCTTTCCTTATTATCCGATTATGTATTCTAGCAGCCAGTATCAGCCGAGGACTCCGCCGGGATGTTATAACTGTGGAGCTCCCGGTCATTTAGGAAGCGAATGTACCAGTCAAAATATTGAGGAGATCACGCAAAAGAAAACTTACGTGTTGGATTATACATCTTCATTGCATGATTCAGAGAAATGATAGTGTATGATGGTTCTTTTTTTTTAGTGATTTATCGAACAGTTACCGTACTGTTTTAAAAAACGTAATTAATAGGAAAACGTGTAATTAATTGTAAAAAGTCTTATCCCCGATTTATAGTTGACCTCATTTTGTTTGTTTGTTGATTTTTTTTGTCGTAGACGCAAGCTAGGTCGGAAAACTGTTAAGTGTCAAGAGATTTACTACGATTACATTTACTATTAGAGCAATTTGTGGTATTAAATTAAATTTTCGGTCTGTTTTCGGATTTTTTGCATTTTTAATTCCGTTACGAAGGATTTTATGTTTTAATAAAAGCGGTTCTACGAATTGAAATGAAACGGTATTGACTAAATATTTCGGTATATTTTTTTTCGATAAATTATTGAAACGTTATTCTGTTGCGGATAAAGATAGATAAACCTAGGTTTACCCGGGTAAACTGCGAAATACCAAAGAAACATGGGTAGGGTAGGATTTTTTTGGGTTTCTTGGGTTCCCGTTATGCCAGGGGAAAATCGTTTCGCACTTTACCCTGGTAAACCTAGGTTTAGTCATTTTTCTAATTTTACTCGTAACAGTTACAATGATTTGATCAACCTTTTTAATTTCAAAATTTGCGATAAACACCATTCGTTCTAATTATGAAATTGTTTTAGTGACTTTTTAGATCCTTGTTAAATTTTTAAGGACTTTTGTATGAATTTACTACAGACTTGGTTTTTAGAATTTTAATTCTAATAGTGTAATAATCTCTTTTAATTTTCAATCATGTTTACATAATGTAGGTGAGAAGTGAATTAATTGAAAATATATTTGTATGTTAAAATGTAACGCCGTTCATTACCGAGTTGTGTACATAATTTTTCAGGAAGAGTTCCTTCACCGGTTTCTTTTTTGACCTAGATTGCACATAAATAATGATCATTTTAAACGTTTTTCTCTAGTTTTTTATTGAACTTTATTTGCAGGAATCAGATCGTACGGAATCTCGGTTTATTTTTCATCACAATAATTTTATGTATTTTCAATTTACATGAACTAAAGCCAGTACTTACCACTTATAGCAAATTTGTTGCCATAAAAAATTGTAGCTATTTTTTACTTTGCGTCAGTAAGCTAATAAATAACCGTTTGATAAAGGCGAGTAGCTGTCATTTTTGTTTAATTTAACCCCGAACTGACGAAGCTTCACGAACAAAATTGTTTCTGAAAGATGTGGAAAAAGCTTCTCGTGCTTTCATTACCTAGTAGATCGAATATTAGGCGAATCGTAAATGTGAAATTTTTCTTTTAATAGGCGTTAAAAACGTAACGGAAATAAAAGAAGCAGTTTTAGAAATAATGGGATACTTACTTTGAAACAGTAGGTTTTAATTAAGCAAAGAAAAGATTACATGAGTGTTTAATGTTCATATTAAAGAAAATCTACTATCAACTTACTAGGAAAATTCAATAGAAACAAAGTTTTGTGGATTTGAAAACCCTTCATTTTTTAATGAAAAGAATTATTTTAGATGTGCTTTGTTAATTTTCCTTTGGATTGTTTTCTTTCATGACTTTTCTCTGCTAAGCACTTCCATGATAATTACACTATTTTCTTCAATTTTCAGTATAAATAAATGGTATTTTTTTGTGTAAATCACCAATTTGAGAAGATGATGATTAAGTTAATGTATTAGACGAAAAGTACCGCTTTTAATTTCGTCAATAATGAACTCTAAGCAATAGTCGAATAATCATAATCGTTTAGAGACTGAGTATGTGTACTTGTGTATTAGATAATTATTACACGTTTTGAAAATCGTGTGGGTTTCTTAATATTATAGCAATTATTGCTTGAAAATTTTAGGACAGTCTTCCAATTTAATTCTTAAATTGTAATGGTTAAATTTCGATAGAAAATTTCAGTCTGTAATGATTAAAATCAGGTGTTTTTTTTGTAGCGATATTTACACAATTCATCTTGCTTTTATTGTACACCAAAATTAGACAATTGGAGACGTTTTGTTTCCTTTTTTTTTAAATTTTAATTTGCAATTAATCATATGTATGTTGTAGAAAATTAAGTACGGTTTTAATTAAATGCAGTACCTGCATAAAAAGAGCAAATTGCTATAGAACTAAATTGTTTTTTTGAGAAAATTTGTCGAACTTTTCTTAATTTAAGTGAGTTGTATCAAAAATTTTCTTAGCTTACATTATAACACTCTAATCTAATCGATTGATTCCTAATTTTAAACTTTCAATGCAGCATGCCAAATTCACTAGATTTAAGACATTAATTTATTGTTATCAATACATAAAAAAATATTGCTTGTCATTATTTGTCTTTCTATATACATAAGTATATTTTTCTGTAAATTTTCATTATTTTACTGTATATAGTGACTTATAGTTACAATTAATAAATATTGATATATTTATAATACAATCAGTCTGACTGAAAGTTTACCCTAAATGAGATTAATAAAAGCAAAAGTTTTTCTAACGATTATTTTTTTCCACCCTATACTCTCCTCAGTAAACACAAAATTGCGAACAAATAAAACGATTTCAAATTAACTTGTGATATTAGTTTAAGTAAATACATAAAGAAAAAAATTAAGGAAAACTATCATCATCATCTTCGGCCATTTCCTTGGCCAATTCCAAATCCTGCTGCTCCCTTTCCCGTCTTTCTTCTGCCGATTCCAGTTCCTTTCCATACGCATTTGGCGGGTACCTCATGGCTTTCACGCTCTGATTGTGCAAATCCAAACAGAAGGATATCCTCTGATGAAAAGCCAGTTGGGGCTCTTTAGTGCAGTAGATATCAGTGCTCTCTTTACTCCTCATGTACCCCCCTTGAGGGTCCAAAATAGCTTCAATAACACCATCACGAATAGCCTTCGCTACGATGAATTCCGCATCCTCCGCCGAATCCAACCCCAACTTCTTAGCTATATCCTGTGGGGATATTCTCGAATACGACAGTCCTATCGATCTTATCGCAGTCTTGATAACGTTATGACGAAGCCGCAGGATTAGAGTATACGTATGGTCTTGCCTAAATTGCGGACCGAAGTTCTCCAACACCTCTCCGAACCTCTGCAGGTTCCCCATCCTCACCGCCTGCGTTAGCTGGAAGTAAGGGGCCAGAGAATGCCGCATGCTCGCCTGCCGGAATATTTGCCTCTCCGGAATATCCCCCAACAGCAATTCCACGACAACCGTAAGTTTCTGGACGGTTTGCCGGAAGCCGATCGCTGTGTTCTGCGGAGCCTTACGCATCGCTTGTATCAGATGCTTATGCGCCACGCTGTACTCCAATCGAGCCGCTTTGATCCTGCCCAAGTAGTACAAAAACCTCGCCCATTCGTTGTTGCTGGCAGTCTCCGGAAACACGCATTTGTTAACCAACTTGTCGGCTTGATCGTAGAGGGAATAGTGCAGATAATTCCTCAACAGACAGTTAATAAGTACGGCTTGTCCTTCGAAATCGTTCCGGAGGGTGGCGGTGCGCAGGCGTGAGTGCAGGAGGCCCCTGATCGAGTCCAGCTTGTCGGTGAGCTCGGCTACTCGGGAGTAATAGAAGTAGCATTTCGCTGCGATTAGGTCTAACGTTCGCCTGTTTTGGCTGGTGATCTTGGTCATGAGGATTTGCGAGCACCGCTCGGCTTCTACCAGTTTGTTGGTGTCGATTAAATGGACTAGACATAGCAAGTTGATGTAGGTATCGATTTCTGCTACGGGTGACTTGGTGGCCGGTCTGGTTTTAGTTTGGGTATTGTCCAGCTCGCCGGTTGATTCTTCGATGAAGCTCAGAAGTACGTCCCGGTCTGCCACCGGGTAAATTTGATTAATGAGACTTCTGAGGACGATGCCGTTCAGCTTTCGTCTGGTGTTGGGCAAGCAGCGAAGCACCCTTAGAATAAAGCGGTTTTCCTTGTTGATGATGCCCTTTTCGATTTGCTTGGCCTGTTCTCGGATTTCCGTGAAACTGTTCAAGTCTTTGTCTCGCTTGTTGTCGCCGGCTTCCAGTCCCGTGGGGCTGTCGGCGTTCTTCATCTCGACGTCGGTCTCGAGAGCTCCCATGTTTTGTTTACTAACGAAAACTAACGCGCAATCGAAGTAATTGGATCAAATCTTTTTCAGCTGAGTAATGTTGATTGAATTATAAACGTAACAATTTTCTGTTTTATATTTGACGTAAGACGTGACAGATGACAGATGAATGACATTGATAGAAGCAACTTGACAGAGGAGATAAAAATGTTCTTCTCTTTTATACAGTCCTTTGTTTATTAAGCTGTTCAGTACACTTAAATTTTCTTGAAATATTTATATCTAGTTTGTTTAAATAATTACACAGTTTTGTAACTAATTTAGTCGTATATTTTATGGCGACAAGTGCAAGTAGCCAAACAATTATTTTTTCTCTCCATACCTTCTCTAGTATCAGTAGAGCACAACCACGTTGGAAACCTTTTGAATAAATCCCTGCAATTAGAATAGTGATCGGCTGCATTGCACCCATTCTGGCACAGTTTATTTTTCCCACAGTGCCTTTTGCACGAGTTGCACGGTTCGCCCCTCTTGTACGGTCTATGGACTTTTCCTCGTCGATTTCCTCTGGAAAAAGAATTAATGAATTAGTTAATGAAGCCAGAGTTATGTTGAAATACAATACTTACGCCGGACAATAGTTACATACATAGTTGTAGAACACTTTCGTTCCGAATTCAGTGTCACTAAAGCATTCAGCAAAGCCGCATCCTACTCGATGGGTAGTAGCCCATACCACCTGGGTGTAATGCCCAATCGTCCTATAATCTTGATTGGGCTTGCCGTAGATGAACAAATTTTTCTCCATCCACCACGTTTTAATCGCTTCAAACCTAGAACCAAATAATATACCTAGTTAATGCATATTTTTCTTTAACAATTCTCTCACCAATTAACTTTGTAGGTCGATACGAAGATGTTTTGTCCACAAGCTCCGTAATTGTCTATGTACCTTCCAGCATCGTCATCGTGAGTTAGGAAGATGCATTTTGAGGCCCATCTTTGAGCAGCACTTGCTGCTTTCTTATGCCATCTCTGAAAATTAGTGAAAAATAGTGTTATCTAAGTATTGATTGAGATAATGAAAGTATTAACTTACCATACGCAACATGTTTGATGCTGTGGGTTGCACTATTGATCTTAGATGATTATGGTATGAAACAATTTTCTTTTTTGACTTTGTTATTCTTGGATCGACGAAAGCTATATTGAGAGGGTCGATAGAAGTGTTGTATTCTAAAAATTTAACTTATTAAATATTAAATCAGTATATATATTTTCTTAGTTTTTTGGTAACTTACTTACCGTTTACATATTTTTCTTTGTTGCTGTAGAACTCACTAGTATTAGCGTGGATCATCCAAAGAAAAATCGTTGAAAATATGCAGCTTTTGAGCAACATATTCGGACTGAATTATTTGCAATATTTTAATATATAAAAATTTAGCAAAAGATTTCCAATTTTAGCCAAAAAAATAATCGAATCAGATTTGAAACAAAACTTAGAAATCACACAACAAAATTATAATAAAATGCAGCAGGTTTTGAGAATGAGTGGCAAAAATACCACCCGAGAATTCAAACAATTTTCTTAAAACAACGAAATATGAGCGGTTTTAATAGCATATCTACTTCGTAATCAACTTTTATCTTAAAAAAAATTAATCACGAGTATTCTACAGTAATATTACATACTACAAGTTACAAAAAATTTACTAGAGTTTTCTAAGAAAAGATCTATTATCACTTCAATATGAGTATATTATAACGTATAAATAAAACCAGAATTTCTACAAACATCCCCACTACTCCAACCGAACGTATCTAAAAAATCATTCAAAAATTAACTAAATCGAATTCCCGGTCCATCCTTAAAGTGATCGCTAAACTTTCGGTTTCATTATCCCATTTGGCATTGCCCAATTGGGGATCGACTGGATGGGGCAGCTGCAAATCCAGGTAGTGTTTGGGAGTCACCAACACCATGTTGTTTTTGTGTATCTTCAAGTCCATGTTGTAATGACTATCTCCAGGGAGTTTTACGGTTACTATCATGTCTTCGCAACTTGCGGTCGCCGGACCTTTCAAACCAATCTAAAAAATTAGCAGAAAATGAGATTAATTTTAGGTTTAGTGAGTATTGTGTAATTACTTGTAGAAATACATCTGAAGCTGTGACTTGTTGTTTGTAAGCAATGTCCCAAACAGGTGTCTTCTTCCAATCGGATTCGCTTTTTTTACCTTGTTCCTCATAAAACCCTTCTTCGCTCAGATATTCCTTGTATTCGTTGGTGTTTTCCAGTTTATTATAAGGATTTACTTTCTTCGGTTTCGCTTCGGCATTGTCGCCATTCGGCCCGACTAAAATGTTTCAATTCCCAATCAATTTCACGAAGCGGAAGAGTTACTGAACACTTACTGATATCGGTGGAGTCGCCTTCGTCTCCACATTCCTGATTATCATCCTCGGAATCGGAATTGTCTTTGGGCGGGTTGAATAATTTGGTAAGTTGTTGGATATCGCTGAATCCCAATTCCATTTTGATTGGAACCTGATTGACAAAACTTCGGCCCGAAACTATGGTTACTGTTCAACGAGTGTAATTCTTTGTTACAAGAGGTTTTGTAGTTTCCATTATTATCGTCAAATCGATTGGAGAAAATGGGTTAAATAGCTTCAATGATTAAATAAGCCACTTTGAGTTGGAACAATCGTTTAATATTAAATAATGAATAAAAAATTACTCTATTGTTTTAAATAACTAACGTAACAAACGATTAGTAGCGATTTTATGGAGCAGCGAGTTTAACTATAGAACATGTCATAATGTTGGGTTGTGAAATATTTTGATGCATTTTAACTTCTGATTAGGTTTTTCCTATTCTTCTTGATATAGCGTATTTCCGATGGATAAAATACTCTATGAGCCGGTATTTACATTTCTTTTAACAACATTTTATTACGATAATAACAAAACAACGTTTCGAAATTCCCGTACTCTTCGAAATGCGCTCGAATTTAAGCAAACTCTATTAGACACAGCAGCTTGATAAGTTAATTTCGTAAACTTAACAACTCCCAATCTAGCCGTTTTTTCCAGTTTATGTAACTGAAACGTACACCTAATGTTTTCACGGTGCATATCGGCATATGGAATTAATCAAGTCGCGCTGTCGAGAGAAGAATAAGAAGTAGCCAAGCGTGATGTCATGCCGTCTTGGGTCGCACTTCACAGAATCACAATTACAATACTTAAATTCAACAAAAGTCCTTAGTTTACTGACAAACGCGAACAGTAAGTAACATGCTGTACTGCGGGGCACCGGGCCTGTAATACCATCGAAGCTCCTTAGAATTTTTAAACGATGTTGCCCAAGAGAAAAACCCGTCGGGTTAGTGATAAAGTGGTGAGGTTTCCCAAAATTTTGGAATACGAGAACATGGAGATCGATTCGTTGGAAGAAGGATCCAGCAGCGATGAACGGCAAGTAAGTTATGTTTAACCTAATTCATTATTGAGATTTCTATTCATCTACCTACTAGGATAATAATTGAAGGAAGATGGAAACGATTAAAGTGATTAGATGGGTGAATGTATAATAATTTATCTTGCCAAGTCTTAGCATTTGTGATCCCTATAGTAGAATGTATCAAGGTGTAAGAATTGTAGAATATCTCCTTTAATTTCATCTTCAATTTCTTCTTCATTTTTTTAAGACCCCTCCATCAATGTTGCACAAGCAATCCCAATAACATTACCCTTTAAGAAAACCTCATCTTGGTTAGAAAATTTACCAGCAGTTCCCGCTTTTTAACGAATATTAATTAGGTTATTTTTCCATTTTGTAGGAAGCTCGTGGGGATCCCCGGGCCACGTCGGGCGGCGCGAACGAAAACGCCGATCAACAGCCGACGTTGAAGCACCTGAACCTAAACGGTTTATGCAACAAGAAAGAAGAGTGTTATATCGAAGAAATCGTACTTCCTGGCGACTCGATACAGTCCCTGTCCGATCTGCAGGTACTCAGTTTGCGCTCAAATGGCATTCAGAACTTTCCCAACAGCGTGCTGCAGCTAGTTAGTTTAGTGGTGTTGGACGTTACCGATAATAGCCTGTTGACCCTGCCGCCGGAAATTAGCCAATTGAAATTGTAAGTACATTTTTTAATTGCAGCAATTAATATAATAGTGAGCGAGTAGACCTATTGGATTAAAAGCTCTTTGTGTTTACAATCACCTAATCAGTGATTGATTGGTACTGATTCAGTTTACGCGCTAGTGCGTTAAGCGACAAATTCACGATAGATAATTGTTAGGGAGGTGGTACTTTGAGAAAACTGCCTTACTTGAATAATTTATCTAATCGAAAGTATTGTTCTATCCATTATTGTACTAATACCCAATTAGTCCTTGCCATGTCTTCTCTATCGTTTCAACTGAAGCGTTAAGTAAAAGTTCAATTTAATAAAATTGGCTATTATTGGTTTAATTCTTGTTATTGCTTGCTGGTCAAGAGGAATGTAAAGTCTTCGATATCATTTCGCAATTTTTACGATTTAGAAAGCGACACTGTTTTCTAGTACTTATTACACTTATTACTTCTAATTATTGATGCGTAGTTCAATTCATAAAGTTTCTTTACCACCAATTATTAGTATTAAAGTAAGATTAGGAAGGTGTAGATTAGAGGTGTTGGTGATTAGATATTATGCATGTTAGGTAGGTCATATTCGTACCTAATGTTTGGTGGAAACTTTATGGAAGTTAATAAAATTCATCTATGCGTAATTCATCTAAAAAAGCGATAAGTAAATCACCCGTAAGTGTGCCACTGCCGGCACGAGCTCACCGTTTGAATGTTTAATTTTAATGGCATGCGTCGTCTCGGAAGATCGAGGAACCGTGGAAGAAACAACGGAAGTTCGTTCACTGCAATTTCTACGTTTTTTTTAGGATCATGTGGAGATAATACGTATTGTTTCGAGTTTCGCAAACTTACTGTGATTCATGCGATTCGGATACGTTTTATTCCCCCATTGGATCCTTCTTACTACTCCGGTATTTGAAATCATATTCTGGTCGATATTTCTATGTACCCGTGTTGTAATTTGAATAGGAACAGGAAGAGACTGATTTATCTGTTCAGAATAAAATGTACAATATAATGCATAAAACGATATGGATCAGAAGTTGTACGGGTGGGCATTCATACACGCATTTAGATAGTTTATTGTTATATTGTGTGGCAGTAGATTTCAATTTCTGTTTATCCACGCCACTGCCCGTCAGTTGTACAAGCAACTGAAGCGTATCAGGCGGAATTAAACCGAGCACCAGGTTCTAATTCCACGCCGAACCACCGAGTGCTATCAAATACGGCGAGGTGAAGTTCCCATTAATCGCATTCGAAGAAGGAAATTGTGAAGAACCCGCCGACCTCGGTGGTGTCCCGCATGTGCATCCGCCGAAATGGGTAACTTTCGTTTTTTCGCGTTTGCAGACTGCAAGAGTTAGTGTTGGACCAGAATTTGCTGAGCGTCCTGCCGGCGACCGTATGGGATTTAAAGTTTTTAAAGAGCCTGAGAGTGGCTAGCAACCGTTTGGCCTTGCCTCCGGACAAAAGAGCTGAAATGAGAGCCCTCGTTCTGTCTGTAAGTAGGTGCATCAGATTATTTTTGTATCACTTTAAATTTGATTGAAATAAATGGTTGTAAATTATCAATGAAGGAAGTATTTTAAGCATTCGCGGTGAGAATAGAGCAAGTTAGGTATACACGATGTTTTGTATTTTCTTGAATTAACACGAATCTATCAACTCTGCAAATGTATTTTAATTGACTCAGTAAAATTGGAAAGATTTTTCTATTACCAAGAAACTCTTAATTTATTCACCTAAATTCAAAAATTTTATGTCCTCTTCAAAGTCAATTTAAATGATGACTAAATGTAATATTTTTATCGTACCTACAGAAGCAAGAATGGAGATTTTTTTATCAAAATAACGGATGTATGCAAATTTTGATCGAATACCGTCACCGTTTGCGAGTTTAACAGCAACATAAAACATAACGTTTCTTCGTAATAATCATCGTTACACCATTCGAAAACACTTCATTTGTAAATTAATAATATCGTATAGTACGATAATTGTTCATGCTAGCTTCTTTTGTTTTACATTGCGCTTCGTCGGTACTTTCTCTTTATATCGAACAAACGAAAAATGTTAAGTATTTACCTACTTGCGTTACGTAAGGATTTCGTAAATTTGATACAAAAAAATTCGTAAATTTTCTATTGCTTTCAATTTAGGAACCCGAGGAAAAGAACGAAGATCCCGAAGGTATTACCACTTTAAATTTAAGATGCAACAGACTGAAAGGCCACATTATTCTCGGAAATTACGGGGTAAGCTTACATTTTTAATCAAGTACTGAACCAAGTATATTGAAACAATTAATATTAGTGAGCCCAACTTTTATTTTATAGAGTTTAACCGAATTAGATGTCAGCGAGAATAACATAGAAAATTTAGATCTCAGCGCCGTAGGACAACTACAAACGCTCCAGTGTTCCAGAAACTGCTTAACAACATTAACAATCCACGGCAAAAGACTTACCTCAGTTATTGCAGGAAACAACAGTATGTACACTTTTAATCTCTCGATTACTACAATTACCAGAAAAACCATTTATTTTCCAGTGTTAAAAAGCATATCAGTAATCCACCATCCGAAGGGCCTCAAGCATTTAGACGTCTCCTACAACCAATTAGAATCCCTACCTAGCTGGTTATCGGATTGTCACGAACTAAGATCTCTATTCGCCAGCAACAACTCTCTACTGTACCTTCCGGATTTTCTATTCAACAACGAATCCCCGTACTTGCACACGCTCCAAGTGGCTTACAACCAGCTGCAAAGCCTTCCGAATGTCGCGACCAAGCTGCCCATGCAGGAGCTCTTCATGCAGAACAACAGCCTGTCCATCTTACCAGAAGGTTTCTTCAAAAGTCTGACCAGCATGAAAGTTCTAAACGTATCGAATAATCGCCTTTGCGATCTACCGAAACCCGACGAGATTTTGCAAATCGAAAAATTGTTCCTCACCGCGAATTGTCTGATCGACAATTCGTTGGAGAGGCTGGCCCCGTTTCTGAGAAACATACGCATCCTGCACGCGGCTTACAACAATTTCACCATTCTACCCGACAACTGCACGGTGTTTTGGCCCGAAATCGAGGAGCTCGTGCTATCCGGCAACAAGCTGTTGAAGCTCCCGCATTCGCTGGAAACCATGAAGCACCTGCTGGTGTTGCGAGTGCACTCGAACCTCCTGCAAACCATACCGAAGCTCTCATCGCTGTCGTGCCTGCGCGTCCTGGACCTGGCCCACAACCAGCTCGATCGCGTCGATCTCAACAACCTCATCCCGCCGAATTTGAAGTTCCTCGATTTGTCCTGCAACACCAATCTGCACGTGGACTCGCACCAGTTCAACACGTACAGGACCCAGCGGCCGATGAGCCTCGTCGACGTGTCGGGGAAGAACCGCACGACACTGCCGCTGACGCCGTCCCCGTTCTGCGAGAACGACTTCACCGAGCACTGCTGGTCGGTGGGGTTCTCCGAAACCGCCGGCAGCAAGCAGAAGCTGTACATATCGCAAATTCGCCTGCCGGCTTTCTGCAACACCGAAGCCTTGTTCGGGATTTTCGACGGGGAATCCAACGGCGACCTGCCGAACGGCATCGAGAAAGTGGTGCCCAGGATACTCCTGGAGGAGCGGACGGTGAAGGAGACCGCCCACGATTACATGAAGTACACGATGCTCGCCGTGCAACGGGCGCTGAGAGATAAGGGCCAGAAGCTAGGGATGAACGCGATACTCATACACGTGTTGAAATCCAAACAAACCGCCGAATACTCGTTCTGCGGCAGCATCAAGAAGTACGTTATGAAAATCGCTAACATAGGGGACGTTCGGATTGTATTAGGTCGAGTGTCCGGACCGGTGAGAGTTCTACCGAGAAAACCGAAGAAAATACGGACGAACCTGCAAGTACAAATGATCATACCCGATCCGGACGTGACGGAAATCCTGCTGGAGGAACAAGACGAGTACATGATAATAGCCAACAAACACCTATGGGACGTCATTACGCCGGAAAACGGCATAAAAGAAGTCACGTTGCAAAGGAACGTGATACTAGCCGCCAAGCGACTCCAAGATCTCGCCCAAAGCTACGGAGCCGAAGAGAACCTCAGCATCATCGTGGTGAAATTCAACGTTCTGAGCTCGGACGTGGATCTGTTGATGCGCGAATTGCGCCAAACCATCCGCAAGAACAAATACCAACCCGAAGCGAGCGCGACCAGCCCGTGCCAGCCGGGCTGCTGTTGCGAGGCCCTCAACCAGGAGTGCTTGAATTGCCTCGAGCAGATTCCCATCCCGCCGCCGATGATGCCCTGCGACGACCGATCGTCGCCGAGCGGCCAGAGCGAGAACAACTGCAGCGACTGCAACTTCTCGGCGAAGATGTTCATCGCGCAGCTGAACAAGCAGAACGAGAGCCGATCGGTGCGCAGCCTCACGCCCTCCATATTCGAGAGCGTCGACGTGAAAACGAACCCGGAGAGAAGGAGCTACCGGGGCGTCGCCAAGGCGCTGCGCCAGCGGAAGGAAGAGGAGAGGAATAGAGAGGACTCCGATTCGGCGCTGTCCGAGGAGCAGTTCAAGTGCTGGGAGTACATGCTCGAGCAAAACACGCAGCTTCTGTTCGACAAGGAGCTGAACAGCACGCTGAGCAAGCATTCGAAGAACAAACCGGCCGCTCTGAAATTGGCCGTTTTGTCGAGGAGTTCGCCGCAATTGGCTGATTCGGGGCCGGGTTACCAGGGATCGTTTCTTTCGAAGCAGTTCGGCAGTTCCAGGTCGTTCAATCCGCTGCTGTCTAGGTCGAGTTCGAGGTTCGCCTTGGACAAGAAGCAGCTGCTGGGGGGTCCGCATGCTGCATATTTCGGCAGTTTGCAGCGGTTGATGCCGTACAATTTGGAGTACGATTTTTCGTTGATGCACGAAAGGGGATTGGCCGATTCGATGGACCTCGATAGGATGCAGCAGTATTGGGGAGTTACGACTACCGAATTGTAAAGAGAATCGTGTGAATAAACGTTTGTAAGATATTCAGAGAAACCGTTGTTCTTATTTTTGTATTTATCGAAAGACATTATGGAAACAATAAATAAAATTAAATATTTAGTTTGACGACTAGAATATTACAACAGACACAGATCATTTTTCTTCATTGACTAGAAAGTAGGTACTACTACCTGCATATACATTTACATGATTTTTAGAAAACAACTGGTTTTGGTACTTGTCCATCAGAATATCAAATTACCGGATGAGTTTGATAAATATTTTTAGAATTTAACTTTTAGTAAAAATAGGAATGCATCTGAGTAAGTATAAATCACAGTTACGAAATTAAATAATAATTAAGTTACATTCGAAAAATATCTACACAAATTTTTAAACCATACATAACATGTATTTTATTTATGAATAACTAACTGTTTAATAAAATAAATTCAAATAATTATAAGATACAAGATAGTAAGTATTGATATAAGAATAGGAACTTTTTAGTTAAACAGTAATAATGCTGGTATGTTTGGTTTAACTCGAAATTTCGATATTCTGATTCGTATTCTTGTCTTTAATTGGTCACAACCAATTTCAATTCATATTCCGTAATATTTTGTACAATATTTTGTTTGAAATTGACCGATTGTTGCGTTAAAATTCACGCATAAAGAAGCAGACAAAAGTATTATACAGTGTAGCAAATTTGAAAGATATCACGGCAGTAGAAAATTTATTCAAACTTCTTCGGTTTCATGTTCATTAAAATGATTCGAATAGAAAGAAGCAGATTAATCTAAGTAAAAACTCTACCAATTTAGTCTACTTCTTTAAACGTTGGCAATATTATTTTGAATTTACACGAATAAAACTCTGCAAATATTCAATAAAGTCTGTAGCGCTGGTAACTGGATTTTGGTTAAGAAGACGTAGAAGGGTCAGTAATGTGCGCTGGACGGTTCTCCCAGCCAAGAATCCGGGCTGGGTGGAAAATCAGGATAGCCCCTAGGACTGCTATCGTTGCTGATATCAGTGTCAGCACCTCCTGGAATGTTGTGGCCTATAGACATGGCCGTATGCGCTCCTTGACCTAAAACAATCAACAATTAAACATCCTCTTCTTCAGGGAGGATTTTTTCAAGGCGTACTTAAACTGGCGTAAACTGATAGTTGGTCTGGATACGAAGAGAAGTGTTCGTGCCCGTGCGGGGACGCGTGGCCTGGCAAAAACGACGGCGAAGCAGCCCCGTGAAGGAAAGAAGGTCGTCCGATGCCGCTGTGAGGCGATGATCCTTCCTGGTCCATTCCCATATTTACAACTGTTCCATAACTATCATCGCTTAGATCTTAAAGATAAAGAATTATAGTAAAGTACGGTGGATGCGACGATGGTAATAATCTCACCGTGATGACTAAAACTATCTAAATCCACCTTCATCTCGTCTTTATCTAACAATTTATCGTGCCTGGGCGACGATCCGCCCTTCATAGATCTGAAGTATTGGCTCCATCTCGTCCTGCCGGCGTCTTTTTTCAATCGCTTCTCTTTCGCCCGTCTAAAATTACCCATTTACATTCGAAAAATCTTTTCGAAATATCTGCATACCGACCTGTTCTGGAACCAAACTTGAACCACCCGCATGTCCAACCCGGTGTCTTGGCTGAGCTGCTCCCGCACGTGCCTCGCCGGCTTCGGGCTGTTGTTGTACGCCGATTTCAGCGTTTCCAATTGCTTCGCCGTTATCGTCGTCCTCGGCCTCTTGTTCGGCTGGTCGCCGTCCAAGCATTCCGAAGCTGGAAAGCGACAAACGATTAGCTCCGAAGCGCGCGGCAGTTTCAACCAACAGGTGTACCTTTGCTCTTGGCCGCCTCGTAGTCGGGCTTGCACACCAGCTTCCTGTCCTCCATGAGGTAGAACTCGTCGCCGGTGTTGAGCTGCCTGGCGCACATGATGCACGCGAAGCATTGCAGATGGTAGACGTTGTCCTGCGCCCGCCTGACGACCTGCGTCGGCGGTATGCCCAGCTCGCAGCTCGCGCACTTCGTGCCGAATCGTCTGCACCCACAGCACGTGACACATACACACAAGCTGCATTGTTACATCTGAACTACGCTACATTCGCTAGGTTTTCTACTACCAACGTTTCTTTTCGTCTTACGATTCGAAGTATGTTTAATCTACTGATATTTTTGTTTGAAACTATACGATCCGTATGATGAGTAATGATCGTCTAAAATGTTGTGGGGTTTCTAACTACCTCGAACTAAGTAAGGAACTATTTAGATGAATCATTTATAAATGCATTTCATTAAAATTTGAGGGGTTTCTGGGGGTGTTGTGGTTTCGTCAATTACCGTTCAAATTATTTATTCTATTCCGGGAAGGATGTCGGGGCTTCTTAAACGTAATTGAGCTGTTAGAAGCAATATACAAGATTCTCCTAATGGTGTAGTAGATATAAAAATAAATGCGTTTGAATTAATTAAATTTTATGAATGAAGGGCACATTGTGAACAAATTGTGTGAACAAATACCGTTTATTTCTCGAACGAAATAACCGGAGCATCGTTCGCGAGATTCATGGGCGTTTCTCCGCTATCCCGTTTTTTGCCCTTGCGTTGGTTCAATTCGTTCTGCAATCGCTCGATTTTTTCCCTGATCCACTCGCCTCTCCATTTCTCGAGTTCGTACAAGCGCTTCCAATCCGACGTTAGTTCTTCGTTCAAGTTATTAAACATAATGATAATATAATTATGTTGTTTGATGAGTGCGTAACTGGAATTTCAAAATTTGCCCTCGAAAGATGATTTGTGGTGACACCGAAACTGTCACGACGAGGTCTTATTTATTTTAAATACAGGGAGATTCGAATGATGCGTGAAATGCATTTATAACGTTCGTCGTTAATTATGTAACAAGTAATTTAATCTAGGATTCTAGGCGGATCTGATACTTACTTGAAAAAGTCCTCTTTGCAAAACAACTGTCCGTTTCTAGCGAAGCATTTGTCAGTCAGTTGTATTCTACAGTCGCTGCATTGGAGACATTTAGCGTGCCACGTTCTATCCGCTACTTTTAAGATGAACCTATCCAGAATCAGTTCGTGGCAACCGCCACATTTCGGTATTGTAGCTGTAATAAAAAAATATCGTCACATTAATTCAATTTAGGTCTCACCAAAGATATTCACTATTTCCTATAATACATATAAAAGTAACAAATAGAGAGTAAGATAATAGAATAGAATATAGTGAGTAGAGTGAAGTAGATTGGAGTATAGTTGAACCTAAATTTCTTGGTTTTGAAATTCGTAATATCGTCACATTATTTCAATTTAGTTCTCACCGAACAGATTCACTATTTCCTAATTTAACAGTAACGAATGGAGAGTAAGATATGTAATAGAATGGAGTAGGTATAGTGGAGTAGAGTGGAGTAGGAGTAGATCGGGGTAGATTGGAGTAGAGTGGACTAGAGTAGCATAAGATTAAATGAACATAAAAAATTTCTTGGTTTTGAAATTTGTAATATCGTCTCATTATTACAATTTAGTTCTCACCAAACAGATTCACTTTTTTCTAATTTAAAAGTAACAAATAGAGAGCAGTAAGGTAATAGAATGGAGTAGGTATCTAGTGGAGTAGAGTGGAGTGGAGCAGATTGGAGTAGATTCGAAAAGAGTGGAGTAGAGTAGCATAAGAATAAATGAACATAAATTTCTTGGTTTTGAAATTCGTCATATCGTCACATTATTTCAATTTAGTTCTCACCAAACAGATTCACTTTTTCCTAATTTAAAAGTAACAAATAGAGAGCAGTAAGGTAATAGAATGGAGTAGGTATCTAGTGAAGTAGATTGGAGTAGATTCGAAAAGAGTGGAGTAGAGTAGCATAAGAATAAATGAACTTAAATTTCTTGATTTTGAAATTCGTGATATTGTAACATTATTTCAATTTAGTTCTCACTAAACAGATTCACTATTTCCTAATATAAAAGTAACAAATAGAGAGTAAGGTAATGGAATGGGGTATAGTGGAGTAGAGTGAAGTACATTTGAGTAGATTGAGTTAGATTGGAGTAGAGTGGAGTACAGTGGAGTAGAATATCGTGAGATTATAGATGAACCTACATTTCTTGGTTTTGAAATTACCTTAAAAATAGGCTATCTTCTTTGCCCTAAATAAGCTTCAAGAATCTTCGATATAAAAATGTGTGTGGGTAATTCACTCGTTATTTCAAGAAAATATCTTCTGCATCTAGTGATAAATATTCACTATTAAAAATGAACTCATATAATATAATAAGATTTAACAAACAGCTAAGTGATTTTCACACGCAAAGTAGTGGATAATAGGACGACAAAATATTGAATGAACTTTCTTTCTCTCAACTAATTCATTTTGTCTAACACCACAAATTACAATAACCATCAACCAACAGCTTTAAACACTTGGTTAAAACACTCTAAAGTACAATCGTGGATAACCACGTGCTCCATACAAAACACTCTAACAACAACAAAAAAAAAACTTACACAGTATCATATCGGGAATATCATCGAGCGATATCGGCGGCACCCTGAACATCTCGATATCGAAACCGGCGTTATCCTCCCTGTTACCGCTAATCATATTTCGAATGTGGAATTAACACGCGACTGGGAATCAACACCGAACCTGCCGGACCCGACGGACGTCGCTCCGTCTGAAAGACTGACGATATATTCCGGGAATGCGCCGTCGCACACCCCGTACTTTTATTATCGACCCTTCTGTACGCCTACCGCGTTGACGCTCGCTAGATTGAACTCTATTAAAGAGACTATCCCTTGTTTTCCGGAGCGTATCGTCGATTGGCGGACCGGCCGGGACGCCCCTCCTAAATTTATACGCCCTTAAATAGGGCGACTTTTCCTAACTCGATGATCCCGCTCGGATTGAATTCGGCTGTTCATTCGTTATGCGGCGGCGATTTCGGACGGTGCTGATTTTTATTGCTATAGCGGGCGTTGTATTTTCTATGGAATTTATAGCCTGATTGGTCTTTGTTTTTCGTTTTGTTTGTTTGTTATGAGCTGATGCAGGGTGTGTGATGAAGGGGTGCATGAAATGCACCAGTTTCTTTATAATTTATCAATGGATTTCTTTCGAATACATCGGGAACAAAGGATGTAAAAATAAATATCGTAGAAATATTTTAAAGATTTTTGAACGTATTAGGCACATAATTTTTTATCCTGCTATTCAGCCAAGTCAGAATTTTTTTGACCAAACATTTAATTTGAATTTAATTTTCTTGACAATTGCCAGTGAATTTCTTTCAATATCTTGGGAACAAAGAATACCAAAAATAAATAGGTACTTATACACCTTGCTCCATTTCCGATTGCAATATGGTCATTTCTATGAGTGGAACGAAGAAAGATTATTAAAATGACAGTTGTCAGAGTGAAAAGTTGCAATGACACAAATGTCACTCTTTCCTTTTCTTTTGTAAGTGTCTAATGGAAGTTGTTTTTATCCCACCCATGGCCTATATAACCTATGTTGCGATCAAAAATGGAGCAACCTGTATATCTATCTATGATTAAAAAATTAAGGATTATTGAAGAAACTTTTAGCCTCTTTTACGTAAATAATCTTTGTTATAATAGTCACATAATTTTTCACCTGTTACCTTTCAAACCCATTCATAAAGACCTGCACATAAACAAATAGAACATATTGGTAGTATACTACAAATAAAAGGTATTAGTTATTAATGAATACTCGTAGAAAAATAGATCAAAAACCTATAAGGCGAATGTGGAGTAAAAATCTTTTTTTTTCCTCTTAAAAGTTATACCGGTGATAAATTTGCTCGTTGCAACCTTGACAAGCGACAAAGAGATTTAAACGATCTCCGGTTAATCTACATCAATCCATTGTGAATTAAATAAAATGCATGACTGAACAGTTGAACTATTTTGTTATATAATTTATTCACGATCAAGGCTAGTGATTTTTTTTATCTTTTTAAACAATTACTGCACATTGTGGTCTTTCACGATATATTCACGATTAGATTATTTATTTACGTTCAATTGTAATATTATATACTTATTCCATTTGCAGAAACGCAATACTAAAGCTCCTAATTATGTACTAACTTAATATCATCTTCTAAAGCACATAAACACGAGATTTTTATGCGCTGATAAAGTCGACACCATTTTAATTAAATTCTCCCAAAATCCATAAACGTTCTTCATACACCGAACGCTCTTCTAATTATGGTAAGTAGAGGAGTTGATCCGGCCACTTTCGAAATAAACGGGGTTAAAAGCGTCTATACCACCACATTCATGAATAAATAACATTCACTTGCACTCCGCGTGGTCCAACAGCCACTGTGTTATCCTACTGGACAAAATCCCGCAGATACCTACACTCAATAATCAACTGTATTGATTGGAGTTACAAGTGTTAGACAATGTAAAGAGAATTGATTGTAGGTACGTAAATATTAGGTAGAGAAGGTGACGAAGAGGAGCAATTATGTGGATGGTGTAAAAGATTTAATGGTGACCGGCAAGTGTTGCAATTGAATCCAATGTGTGGCTGGTGGAGGTTTTTGTGCAGGGGAACGCGAAAAGGGACACATAGACTAAATGGACCGGATTACGGCGTGTGCCACCCCTTGAAAATAGTCTGCAAAGCCGAGCGCAGACCGAATTCCACTTGCAAGCTATTGACTAATGGATCGGATTAGAAATGTATGGGATCTACATGTACCCAGTGGTGTTGCACTATAAAATGCACGTTTTTTCTCTCTTTGATATTCGTTGGTTGCAAGTTCATTCTTTTAAGGTAATGGGTCGTTTATCTTTCTGTTTTATATGGCTGTTTTTGTATACAAAGAGCTCAATAAATTGGCCATTTTGCGATTGTTGTTCTTCTCAAAAGCTCTTCTAGTAGGTACTACTTATAGTTAATGGATTACCTATAGTTTCTATTTAGTTAAATCTCTTGGGTTGAAAGATGATTTTACAGGAATTTTTTTATTAGATGTTCAATTAACTACGCCACTGAAGAATGGGGTGTTGGATAAACAAGTGCACTCAATTCAATTAGTTCGAAGGATTAACACCCATATCATCGCATATAACACTTCTTTTGAGGTATACGTATTTTCACAATTTTGATTCAATGCGGAATTGAATTATGAATACCAAAAACGCACAGTCATAAGGAAATCAGAAAAAAAGTGTTTTTACGTGTATTTTGGTATATCATTACATGAATTACATGAACTTTTTAATATACAGGAAGAAATCTAAACAAATTCTGCGGTCAACCTTGCGGTGAATATTTGTTTTTAGGTAAAAGTCGTTCATTCGGAGCCTGAAATATACTGCTCCACAAAAGTTAAGGAAGTTCACAAATATTAAGATTAATTTAAAAGTTGCAGGTTTTTTGATCGCCAAATTTAGTATGAATTGTAGAGGTAGGGGCAAAAAATCCACTCACATATGAGAGAAAACATTTAGATTCGCATATTTGAAAATGTAGTGATCAAAAAGTCTGTAACATTTAAAATAATCGCAAAATTTGCGAACTTCCTTAACTTTTGTGGAGCAGTTTATTTGTAACGCTTGACCAGTACAAAATTTCTCGTTTTTCCTAACAAATAAATATATTTCAAACTTCCTACATTATCGAGTTTTTCCCAACAAAAAATATCATGTTACAAACTTCCTATATTATCTAAATTTATGGAGATTGTAGATTCAATAATTATTATCTATTTAGCAACATTTTATTATGCATATTTTTTATGAAAAAGTAGATTATAGAATTTTCCAACAATAAGGCAATAGTTCTAACCTTCGGAACTTAAGAGCGACATGTTAATAAATGCGGCATAATTAAAATACTTTTTGCAACTGATCGACATCGACATACAATTAATAACTTCTAATTAGATTTTTTTGCAGCAATAAAACTCATTTACAATTGCATACAGTTTAAATCGTGCATTCACAGATTGACTTACGTGGGTAGCTAAGTGCATTATACATGCAGATAGAATAAAAATTATTCAAACTCTTTATTGTATGCCTAAATGATAGGGCAATAATCATAAATAGCCG